TTGTCTGGTGGGTATAATTTACATAATTTGGTAACTGAAAATATTTCCAGTATCAATACGGAAGAAGCATCATATAACATAGACTAGTACATTGAAATCTGGTTTCTTTTTGTATCGAACTTTTGTAGTAAGCAATCCTTTAATAGATATAAAGATCATGTTGATAATAATCAACAAAATTATGTACACTGGATATAATTTAACTTCGAACAAGTTTACATCACTATTATAACTGAATGTTCCTTTTCATATGCAGTGCATTCCATCAAAAAATGAAACTCGTCTTCAAACTCCATATTTTACAATGCCTACAAAACCTTTTATCTGTGTCGATTCTTTTATATCGACCTTTCTCAATAGCTAAATGATGAGCACTTATTCTAAATTGTCCTGAAATTTCTCAAGGTAGAATAACTGCATACCGCCATTGTGGGTTGTAAAACAGTAGAACACAATCGGTCTAGTTCTTTGCTTAAATCTGCAAGTTTTATGACAGATTGGCAGTTGATGTGCAAGACGATGTGATGTTTATTTAGATAAGGAAAATACGTGATTTATTGCATTATTTAGACTGTTTGAATAAATACCAAATATTGTTTATGTCGATTCAATTTGTCAACTTATAGCAATATAAGAGGAAATAACTCTTTTATTAAAAAAAAAATAACAAAGATAAAAAAATAAGGAGATGTGGTATGATTACCAATGAGACAACTATCCACCAGAGTTCAAATGAAGTGGATGTTAGCAATTATAGGCAATCGTACGGCCTTCAACAATGAGAAATCTATACCGTATAATCGGCTATAAACAACCCGACATGAAAAATGTGAAACAATTCAAACGAGAAAACCAACAGCTTAATTTTTTACAAAACAATTTACGAAAAACAAATAAGACAGACATGACCAACGACAACCACTGAACTACATGCTCCTGAATTGGGACAGGCACATAAAGAATGTGGCGGGGTTAAACATGTTTGTGAGCACTCAACCCTTCCCTTAACCTGCGACACTGGTGTAACATAACAAACATTTAAAATCAGTAGCAATTGGCTCACTCAAAAGATCGATATGAGACACAAAAACAACTAACATAAAAACAATAGAAACAAAGCACCTAAATAAGAATACTCGCAATTACTGAAAGCTAGTTTAAAGCCAATTAAAACTAATAAATAAATGTTCAGGAATGTTAATGGAATTTGGAAACTTTTAGCAAGGGAACAAGTTCGATGACATCATTTTTTTTCTTTTAATTTTCTTAAAGCATATTATAAAACCTATCTTCCCATATTTTATTTCAAAATTCTGTCTCACAGATTTCTTTTTATTGAAAAAAAAGTGTTTTTCTTATAAATAATCTATGCAAAATAAGTACCCAATTTTCCTTTTTTCTGACTAGAACAACTGAATCCGCTGGTTTCATTCCCCTTCCAGTTTTATAGTGGGAACTTAAGCTTTTTGTGACAAGTTCTTAGGGAAAGGTATAATCTCCTAAAACTGTTCATGTTATTTAGCATTTTATAATCGTGGAACAAGTTACATAAAAACAAAGTACAATTTATTTAAGCCGCTGATCATGATTAAAAAGGGTCAAGGGAAAGGGTTAAACTCTTAAAAAGACGAAGCCTATTTTGTCAGTTCTCTTATGAAACATACACGAAATCAAATCATCTCATCATAAATACCAGGATTAAAATTGTGTACGCCTGACGCACGTTTCGTCTACAAAAGACTCTAAAGACGCTGGAATCAAAAATGTTCAAAAGAACAAATAAAGTACGAAGTTGAAGAGCATTGAGGACCTAAAATTCCCAAATGTTTTGCCAAATACAGCTAAAGTAGACCTCATTCATGTATGAATAAAAGAAATAATTTAACATAATTTTATCTCTCACTGATAAATTTTTGTCAAAAATCGAAGTTTTTAATCTGACACTTAAAAAACGAATATCCCATACATGGCTTTACATGGATAAAACTAATGCATAATATATATATTATTTCAGCTAGATTCCAATTTTTGGCGTATCCTAGAAGTGGCAAGACATACATGTACGATACATGATTCTATCTAGTAGCTGGATTGACTAGTCACCACAATAATTCCATGGCAGCAATGAAACTCTAGACCATTATGATATTTTGAAGATATATATATTTACATATACTATGATGATATACAGATATGATTAAAGTACTTGAATCAATTTTGGAGATTTTTACCAGGTCTCATCATATGTCAACAGGTGTCGGACAGGAAATATTACAAAATTACCAGCAGTTACAACACATGAATAGTATTTGTTATTAAGTTTGCCTATCTGTCCAGCTATTTTTAGAGACTGTCTAACAATAATTTCAGAACTATGATATGTCTGTGTAACTGTTACTACAAAGAGATAGATATTATTACACACTAAGAAGTATACCCATTTATCAGAAACTTTTTGTTTTGCAACAAGTTATATAAAGAAAGTTTGAATTTATGATATTGATGCATTGTGAAGAAGAAACATGAAGTAATACTGTTTCCTACAGGAGGTTTTGGCGTGGATTGAAATATTAACAAATATTTGTATTAAATTTGTTGTAAATTTTATAGATTAGACACTTAGAAGTACAACAATGTATACATTGCATCATTGCTACAACATCAGTATTTTGTGTAATATAATAAACAAGAAAATTACACCACCTCAGACTGTTTCCAGTATGATTAAATCATTTTTGGGCAGAATGGCACCAGCTGATCCAACATCTAAAACAGCTAATGTAGCATATGAAAACCATACACCACTGTGGGACACCATACTTCTGATAAAAATGTTCCTCCATAAGTTAAATTCATTGTATGTAGAAGTTGACAGAAGTTAACTACTATAGGTCCCTATACAGCCTGCAACAACAAGCAAAACCCATACCATATAGTAAGCTATAAAAGACCCCGAAATGACAAATGTTAAACAAGTCTAACAATAAATCTAGCAGCCTGATTTATGTACAAAACAATAACGCAAAACAAATATAATTAACAGCAACAAACAACCACTGATTTACAGGCTCCTGACTATGGATAGGCATATACAGAATGTGGCTGGTTAAACATGTTTGCTGGTGCTAAACTCTCCCTTAACCTTGGACAGTGTACGTACATCTTCTCAGACATTGAATCTTCAAAAAAGGATACATATTTTAAAGTAATTTAAAAAAAGATAGTAATTAACTTTTGAAAACAAATGGTTTATTAGTTGAGAAAAGTGTGTAGGATAGTGGAAACAGTACAGTACCAACAATTTTTGATAATTGAGATATAACAAGCTGTGATAAATGATTAAACCAATTCTTCCACAATATTCATCTTAACTTTGCCTTGGGTTTTTGATTAACTGTCTATAGCGCTCACAGTGCTTTGATTTTATGTTTGTTCTTATGTTGTGCTGTTGCACAATTGTCACTGATCAGGGGTTGGGTTTGGAGCAGTTGTTAACATTTTAAACCCGGTCATTTTCTGAACATGCATGTGCTTGACTCAAGTCAGGAACCAGTAATTTGCTGCTGTCAATCATATTTGTTTTTCATGTATTATTTTTCATGACACAAAAAATTTAAAATACCACTTTAAAAATCATTGCAAATGTGTTGTCTTGATTAACCTTCACCAGGAAAGTTCATACAAAAAAAAAAAATTGAAAGCCAATGCAGAGTTCTTAAAAAGAATTTTGTCTTATGGAACATTTGGACTGACACTCTTTGTTCTTCCAAGGAACATTCTTAAGAAAAGTTGGGTGAAGAGTGACTTATTTCAGACTACCCAAATTAAATTGTTCACAATAATGATCACAATTAACAACATAGAACCTTCATTTGAATCCCTCGACACAACAATTTTCTAGGTTCAATTTGAACTTTTCCAAAAACTGTTGTAAAATCAGGGAAATTTGACCAAAACTAACTTTACAACACAAATAATGAATAATTAAGGGGTCTAAACTTCATAATGTGATGCGAAAAATAAAGAAGTTACTTTATATTAATAGTTATACATTAACTATTTCTAGGTAAAATTTGTAGTATTCTGACTAGATTAAAAATATAAAAGTAAAATCTTAGGGCCCATTCTTCTTCGAGTCACTGATAAGTCCTTTGTAAAGGAAATGTGCATCTGGCGTACAAAATTTTAATAATCCTGGTACCTATGATGATACCCTTCATGAATCTACTCCTTTGATAGTAGCAGCCATGATTGCTGATGGTTGGGCTCATCAACTACAGTTCTTAATGGTGATCTAAATGTTAGGCAGCAATAGGCCCTTTAAAAGGTTGATATGTATTTGGTTTATTTCTTGTCCGTCTCCATTTTACTATGTTCCATTTAAGTGATAGTGCTTTGTTGGATGTATTGGTTGTTCAGCAAGGTGATTGGTTATCATTTTTTAGCTAATAACCTTTAAGTTTTGTGAGTAATAATAATAAAAGATGTTGATAAGACAACTTTTCACCAGAGACAAAATGAAGAAAAAAATAGCAACTACTGGTCACTCTAAAGCAACTGAGCAAAACCCATACTGCATATATAGAAACTTTGGTTTCAACTGACTCCGTGGTTTCAGAAGAGGATATATAAAAAATAACATACGAGGACAATCTGCTATCAAAGATAGGATAAAACCAAGTCTTGACTGTGTGAATAGGTAGGGTTGAGCACTCACAAACATGTTCAACCACACCAATTCTTTATGTGCCTGTCCCAAGTCAGGAGCCTGTAGTACATTGGTTGTAGTTGGTTCATGTATGTCATATTTGTTTTTCGTAAATTGTTTTTGTTTAAATTAGGCCGTTGGTTTTCACATTTGAATTGTTTTATATTTTTCATGTCGGAGCCTTTTATATCTGTAATTGCTTACTACCACTTCATTTCAACTCTGGTGGATAGTTGTCTCATTGGCAATCATACCACATCTCCTTATTTTTATATAAAATTTCAAAAACACCAATCTAACAACATTTATTGATATTCAATTCCCTGTCAAAGGGATGACAAAATATATATCATATAATTAATCATTAAAAGATACCAATATATTTAAGACATAACAGTTTTACATTACTATATTTGGTTTTAGTTTTTTATAACATTTTCACTTTATTTTTCCTATAAAATGTATCTGTATTAAAACACAATTTGTATTGATATTAACAGATACCTATGAAATTAAAATCAACATTTCGAAATTCTTGAATTTTCAATGAAAGTGCACGTGGTATTGGTACATTAAACCTGGAATATTTGTGAAATATTTTTTTCCTGACTTAATCAACTACAATCTGATCTTTAGATATTAATGTACAATATTCAGTCAACTTCAGAGAAAATATCAAGCTTAGAAACTGGGGAGTGTTTACCAACCTCTTCAACAGATTTGTGCGGAATACAAAAAGTTTCCATTTCAACACTGATCTAATATTGTTTTTATACTGTAGCTAAAAATGGCTACAATCATAGCAACTAAAATGTTAACACAAAAACAAAACAAAAATTCCCATCCCAAAATGAGCCTCAGATTATGAAAAAAAGTGACATGACATGAAATCGACATTGCACAACATATCACTATGTTACTATATTTGGTAAATAAAGACAACAAGAAGTCTTCAAGTTTCAGTATAAAATGATTTAGCAGTATAGCACACTATTTATCATAAAGAATACTTTTCCTAAATTAGAAATGAATGTTATTGTATCAAGACTTCACTTTTTATTATGCATAATTAAATATCAGATAAAAAAAAGACAACATTGTTAGCACACTTAATTAATAACAACTTCATGCTTTACATTAATTAAAGGAATAAAATTCAGACATTAAATTATGCCAAAATTCATAAAAAAAACAGATAGAATGTTGCCAGTAACTTTTCTATTTCACTACAGATTCAAGGGAAAAAATATACAGAACTCCACAATACATGTAGTTGCAAATAAAACTTTAACTGTGAGTGAACTCTAATACTGAAACATGTCTATTACCACATATTGTAATATTAAAGTAAGTTTGATGATCTCCCCTTTAACATGTAGGACAGATTATATTATCAGGTAGTGTTCTACAGGTGGGTAGTAAAGTTTCATCAATATCCTTCTACCCATTAAGAAGAAGATAGTCTTACACACATATGGAGGAAGTGAATATAAACATCATAAGATATTCATTATGTTTTATTCAAATTGGTACAAACTGATTTTTTTTTGCATTTGTGTGTCTGTGTGTGTTTAAACTTATGCTGGAGTATTTCATGGCAGATTTTACAAAGACTCAACTACATGATTTTCCTGAAATGGACATCCCTAGTATTAACATGTTTAAAGTCTCTTAAGAGCTTTCTTCATCAGAATCTGACTGTGTAGGTAAAGATCTCATTGAAGCAGACAATAGAAAATGATCTTGATATCTTTTTAAAGTATCTGCTCCCATTCCATCTACTAAAAGTCTGTCTATAGCTTCTAATTCTTGTTCTTTGGCCTATAAAAGAAAATTTAAACAGTTGACATACTAAATTATAAAACATTTCAGTTGGAGAATATTCAAAGCAAATTAATTGTTGGCTACATAACACAATCTTAGCAGATAAGGGCTATATCATGGTGTACTGATTTAAGATAAGGACTATATCATGGTGTACTGATTTAAGATAAGGACTATATCATGGTGTACTGATTTAAGATAAGGACTATATCATGGTGTACTGATTTAAGAAACGAACTATATCATGGTGTACTGATTTAAGATAAGGACTATATCATGGTGTACTGATTTAAATTAAGGACTATATCATGGTGTACTGATTTAAGGTAAGGACTATATCATGGTGTACTGATTTAAGAAACGGACTATATCATGGTGTACTGATTTAAGATCAGGACTATATCATGGTGTACTGATTTAAGATAAGGACTATATCATGGTGTACTAATTTAAGATAAGGACTATATCATGGTGTACTGTTTTAAGATAAGGGCTATATCATGGTGTGGTGTACTGATTTAAGATAAGGACTATATCATGGTGTATTGATTTAAGATAAGGACTATATCATTGTGTACTGATTTAAGAAAAGGATTATATCATGGTGTACTGATTAAAGATAAGGACTATAGCATGGTGTACTGATTTAAGATAAGGACTATATCATGGTGTACTGATTTAAGATCAGGACTATATCATGGTGTACTGATTTAAGATAAGGACTATATCATGGTGTACTAATTTAAGATAAGGACTATATCATGGTGTACTGTTTTAAGATAAGGGCTATATCATGGTGTGGTGTACTGATTTAAGATAAGGACTATATCATGGTGTATTGATTTAAGATAAGGACTATATCATTGTGTACTGATTTAAGAAAAGGATTATATCATGGTGTACTGATTAAAGATAAGGACTATAGCATGGTGTACTGATTTAAGATAAGGACTTTATCATGGTGTACTGATTTAAGATAAGGACTATATCATCGTGTACTGATTTAAGAAAAGGACTATATCATGGTGTACTGATTTTAGATAAGGACTATATCATGGTGTACTGATTTAAGATAAAGGCTATATCATGATGTGGTGTACTGATTTAAGATAAGGACTATATCATGGTGTATTGATTTAAGATCAGGACTATATCATTGTGAACTGATTTAAGAAAAGGATTATATCATGGTGAACTGATTAAAGATAAGGACTATAGCATGGTGTACTGATTTAAGATAAGGACTTTATCATGGTGTACTGATTTAAGATAAGGACTATATCATCGTGTACTGATTTAAGAAAAGGACTATATCATGGTGTACTGATTTTAGATAAGGACTATATCATGGTGTACTGATTTAAGATAAAGGCTATATCATGATGTGGTGTACTGATTTAAGATAAGGACTATATCATGGTGTACTGATTTAAGATAAGGACTATATCATGGTGTACTGATTTAAGATAAGGACTATATCATGGTGTACTAATTTAAGATAAGGACTATATCATGGTGTACTGTTTTAAGATAAGGGCTATATCATGGTGTGGTGTACTGATTTAAGATAAGGACTATATCATGGTGTATTGATTTAAGATAAGGACTATATCATTGTGAACTGATTTAAGAAAAGGATTATATCATGGTGTACTGATTAAAGATAAGGACTATAGCATGGTGTACTGATTTAAGATAAGGACTTTATCATGGTGTACTGATTTAAGATAAGGACTATATCATCGTGTACTGATTTAAGAAAAGGACTATATCATGGTGTACTGATTTTAGATAAGGACTATATCATGGTGTACTGATTTAAGATAAAGGCTATATCATGATGTGGTGTACTGATTTAAGATAAGGACTATATCATGGTGTACTGATTTAAGATAAGGACTATATCATGGTGTACTAATTTAAGATAAGGACTATATCATGGTGTACTGTTTTAAGATAAGGGATATATCATGGTGTGGTGTACTGATTTAAGATAAGGACTATATCATGGTGTACTGATTTAAGATCAGGACTATATCATGGTGTACTGATTTAAGATAAGGACTATATCATGGTGTACTGATTTAAGATAAGGACTATATCATGGTGTACTGATTTAAGATAAGGACTATATCATGGTGTACTGTTTTAAGATAAGGGCTATATCATGGTGTACTGATTTAAGATAAGGACTATATCATGGTGTACTAATTTAAGATAAGGACTATATCATGGTGTACTGTTTTAAGATAAGGGATATATCATGGTGTGGTGTACTGATTTAAGATAAGGACTATATCATGGTGTACTGATTTAAGATCAGGACTATATCATGGTGTACTGATTTAAGATAAGGACTATATCATGGTGTACTGATTTAAGATAAGGACTATATCATGGTGTACTGATTTAAGATAAGGACTATATCATGGTGTACTAATTTAAGATAAGGACTATATCATGGTGTACTGTTTTAAGATAAGGGCTATATCATGGTGTACTGATTTAAGATAAGGACTATATCATGGTGTACTAATTTAAGATAAGGACTATATCATGGTGTACTGTTTTAAGATAAGGGATATATCATGGTGTGGTGTACTGATTTAAGATAAGGACTATATCATGGTGTACTGATTTAAGATCAGGACTATATCATGGTGTACTGATTTAAGATCAGGACTATATCATGGTGTTCTGATTTAAGATAAGGACTATATCATGGTGTACTGATTTAAGATAAGGACTATATCATGGTGTACTAATTTAAGATAAGGACTATATCATGGTGTACTGTTTTAAGATAAGGGCTATATCATGGTGTGGTGTACTAATTTAAGAAACGGACTATATCATGGCGTACTGATTTAAGATAAGGACTATATCATGGTGTACTGATTTAAGATAAGGACTATATCATGGTGTACTGATTTAAGATAAGGACTATATCATGGTGTACTGATTTAAGAAACGAACTATATCATGGTGTACTGATTTAAGATAAGGACTATATCATGGTGTACTGATTTAAGATAAGGACTATATCATGGTGTACTGATTTAAGATAAGGACTATATCATGGTGTACTGATTTAAGATAAGGACTATAGCATGGTGTACTGATTTAAGATAAGGACTTTATCATGGTGTACTGAATTAAGAAAAGGACTATATCATGGTGTACTGATTTAAGATAAGGACTATATCATGTTGTACTGATTTAAGATGAGGTCTATATCATGATGTGGTGTACTGATTTAAGATAAGGACCAAATCATGGTGTACTGATTTAAGATAAGGACTATATCATGGTGTACTGATTTAAGAAAAGGACTATATCATGGTGTACTGATTTAAGATAAGGACTATATCATGGTGTACTGATTTAAGATAAGGACTATATCATGGTGTACTGATTTAAGATAAGGAACTATATCATGGTGTACTGATTTAAGAAACGAACTATATCATGGTGTACTGATTTAAGATAAGGACTATATCATGGTGTACTGATTTAAGATAAGGACTATATCATGGTGTACTGATTTAAGATAAGGACTATATCATGGTGTACTGATTTAAGATAAGGACTATAGCATGGTGTACTGATTTAAGATAAGGACTTTATCATGGTGTACTGAATTAAGAAAAGGACTATATCATGGTGTACTGATTTAAGATAAGGACTATATCATGTTGTACTGATTTAAGATGAGGTCTATATCATGATGTGGTGTACTGATTTAAGATAAGGACCAAATCATGGTGTACTGATTTAAGATAAGGACTATATCATGGTGTACTGATTTAAGAAAAGGACTATATCATGGTGTACTGATTTAAGATAAGGACTATATCATGGTGTACTGATTTAAGGTGTCAAGTGGCATGTAAATAATGTTGACCTAACAATCATCATATAAATATGCAAACAAATCTTCAACTTTTGTGATTATGTTCTTTCTTGAGTCTGAAACTCGAACATTATTGTACCAATTCATCTGGTTTTCATTGTTCATCTAATTCTTCAAAAAATTTGTAAGGGTTCCGCAGAACCCAGTGTTTCGCCTTCTTTTGCTGTTAGTAGCAGGCTCAACAAAAATGGGGAAATAATTATTAAAAATTTTCCTCTAGATATTATCTTTTGAATGTAAGAAGCTTCTGTTCAAGTTTGGTAAGAATCCAGGATGTTTTATGAATCTAATAAATGTTTTAAAAACTTTAACTGCAGACTGTATGTAATGTTAACTGGAAGAAAAACTAAGTCCATTTATAAGTAATATATGGAAAAACTAGATACTAGCTTTTGATCATAAACAAGCTTCTGTCCAAGTATGGTACAAATCCAGGATAGTTTAAGAAAGTTTTTAAAATTTAAAAAACTTTAACCACAGAGTGAATGTAATGTTAACTGGCAGAAAAACTAAGTCCATTTATGAGTAAAATACGGATAAACAGGATTTTGTATCAACTAAATGCTACATTGTTTTGCATACATTTGGTTATTTATGTTCAATGTTAAACAAATGATAATTGTAAGGAAGTATCTGGTAAACTATATAATGTAAATTCAGAAATTATTGCGAGGTTTTTGTTAATGTGACTGGTTGAGTATGGCACTAATAAGAACTTGCATTCAGATGTCTGATACTAACATATATTTTTGAACTAGCCATAATTAATCTCGCCTTTTTGTCCGTTCTTTAAAAACACAATAATAAATGCCAGCAACAATTTCTGAATTTACAGTATTGTAGCCAGGTACTGTCTAATCAAACATTTGTCTTATTCATGCAATTCCCAGGACTTCTGAAGGAGGTTAGTTTATTGATCGTTTTATTTATGTGGACTTGGTTACTAAAGTGGAGTTTCTTTTTAAATATATAGTAATCATTTGAATCCCTCTTCATAGGCTTGCAATCGCCAATAATTTTCAATAAAGAGCTACTCCATGAGCACATGATATGCCTGTGGCTTCACTGAAGTTCCATAACTCCTCAATGTCATATCAGAAATTTATAAAAAAATTAAACAGATAAAAACCAGTCACCAAAGTTTCATGAAAACTACTTTTGAGTTATTGTTAACTAAAACTAAACCCCCCCCCCCCCTTTTTTTATGAATAAAATCCCATAACTCAGAAACGTAAAACCTCAAATTTATAAAAATCGAAAGGAAGCTTATGTCAATAGATATAAACAATACACCATAGTTTCATTAAAATTCATACGGACGGATGGAAATACAGACAGAGTGACAGCGGTTTACAATAATACGTCCCGTAAATGGGCGTATAAAAACTATAAAGTGTATTTTGCTGTCCTTAACAAAAATAACCTTTAATGTTCTTTCTACTAAAGAGTGGAGTTTCTGGACTTTTCTCACCTATTCATAAGAAGGTAACCAATCCCTTAACAAAACTAAACTTTAATGTTCTTTCTAAAGAGTGGAGTTTCTTGACTTTTCCCACCTGTTCACCAGAAGGTAACCAACTCCTAAACAAAACTAACCCTTAATGTTCTTTCTAAATAGTGAAGTTTCTTGACTTTTCCAACCTGTTCACAAGAATGTAACCCATCCCTAAACAAAACTAACCTTTAATGTTCTTTCTAAATAGTGAAGTTTCTTGACTTTTCCAACCTGTTCACAAGAATGTAACCCATCCCTAAACAAAACTAACCTTTAATGTTCTTTCTAAATAGTGAAGTTTCTTGACTTTTCCAACCTGTTCACCAGAATGTAACCCATCCCTAAACAAAACTAACCTTTAATGTTCCTTCTAAAGAGTGGAGTTTCTTGACTTTATCCACCTGTTCACCTGAAGGTAACCCATCCCTTAACAAAACTAACCTTTAATGTTCTTTCTAAAGAGTGAAGTTTCTTGACTTTTTCCACCTGTTCACCTGAAGGTAACCCATCCCCAGAACTCTCAGATTTTATTGCACTTCTCCTTTGTTTTTGTTTATCTTTGCCATCAAATGTCAAATGTTCACTTTCAAGTGTACGATAAATATGTGTCAGATCATCGGTACTTTGTGAGAACCCTGTTACTGTTGATGATTCGGAATCTGAAATTACATAATCAAACTTTAAATTTGTTATAACCCTATATTTGTGGAATTCCAATAAGTCATTATAAACAAAAACAATGTGATGTAGTATTATAGGAACTCTTTAACTGTTGAATCTGAAAAAAAAAGAAAAAAGAATAAAAATAAAATGCTCCGCTGGGCGCAGCTCGATACGACCACAGAGGTCGAACCCTGAACAGTTGGGGCAAGTATGGACACAACATTCAAGCTTGATACAGCACTGAATTTGGATTGTGATTAAATATTTGACACAGCATAGGTTTCTGACACAGAATGAATGTGGTCTAAGAACTTAAAAAATTTTAATTTACCTATTCAAACCATATCATTATTATTTGCTTTTATATATAAATCAGAAATAACCAATTTAAAATGGAAAATTCTAAAGAATAAAAAGGAATAAAAAATCCCTCCCCCAAATTTTTTGAACCCCCTTATGATTCAGCACCTCGAAACTCAATCCCAGCCTTCCCTTTGTGGTATGGTACCTTGCAGTACAATTTCAGAGAGATCCATACACTTGAACACAAGTTATTGTCTGAAAACTAGAACAAGAGGCTCTCAAGAGCCTGAATCGCTCACCTGTTATTTTTTTTGCTTAAATCTTTCATCAATGATTATTTTTGCTTTTTACCCATATGTTCCATTTTAGCCATAGTGTCAATGTTTCTTGACGTACAAGGAAATGAAATACAAAATTTATACTAGATTCATTTGAGAAGATTTTTAAAGTTAAAAAACATAAAACAACTTGTGTAAAATTGTCCTTAAAGGGCAATAACTCCTTAAGGGGTCAATTGACAATTTTGGTCATATAAAACTTTTTTGTAGATCTTACTTTGCTGAACATTTTTGCTGTTTACAGTTTATCTTTATCTTCAATAATATTCAAGATAATAACCAATAAAATGCTTCGCTGGGGCGCAGCTTGATACGACCGCAGAGGTCGAACCCTGAACAGTTGGGGCAAGTATGGACACAACATTCAAGCTTGATACAGCTCTGAATTTGGATTGTTATTAAATATTTGACACAGCATAGGTTTCTGACACAGAAAGAATGTGGTCTAAGAATTTTTTTAATTTACCTATTATGGTCCAATGTCCAAAATCAAAATACATGGTTAGATTCAGCATATCAAAGAACCCCATATATTCAATTTTTGTTAAAATCAAACAAAGTTTAATTTTGGACCCCAACTTGGACAAACTTGAAAACTGGGCCCATAATCAAAAATCTAAACACATGCTTCGATTCAGCATATCAAAGAACCCCAAGAATTCAATTTTTGCTAAAATCAAACTAAGTTTAATTTTGGACCCTTTGGACCTTAATGTAGACCAATTTAAAAAAACGGGACTTAAAATTAAAAATCTAAATCAACGGTTAGATTTGGAATATCAAAGAACCCCAATAATTCAATTTTTGATGAAATCAAACAAAGTTTAATTTTGGACCCTTTTGACCTCAATATGAACCAATTTGATAGCGGGGCCCACAAATAAAAAATCTAAATTCATGGTTAGATTCAGCATATCAAAGAACCCCATATATTCAATTTTTGTTGAAATCAAAAAAAGTTTAATTTTGGACCCCAACTTGGACCAACTTGAAAACTGGGCCCATAATCAAAAATCTAAATACATGTTTAGATATAGCATATCAAAGAACCCCATATATTCAATTTTTGTTGAAATCAAACAAAGTTTAAATACTGGACCCTATCTTGGACCATCTTGAAAACTGGGCCCATAATCAAAAATCTAAACACATGTTTAGATTCAGCATATCAAAGAACCCCAAGAATTCAATTTTTGTTAAAATCAAACTAAGTTTAATTTTGGACCCTTTGGACCTTAATGTAGACCAATTTAAAAAACAGGACCCAAAATTAAAAATCTAAATACACGGTTAGATTTGGAATATCAAAGAACCCCAATAATTCAATTTTAGATGAAATCAAACAAAGTTTAATTTTGGACCCTTTTGACCTCAATATGAACCAATTTGATAACGGGGTCCACAAATAAAAAATCTAAATACATGGTTAGATTCAGCATATCAAAGAACCCCATATATTCAATTTTTGTTGAAATCAAACAAAGTTTAATTTTGACCCCAATTTGGACCAACTTGAAAACTGGGCCAAAAATCAATAAAATGCTTCGCTGGGGCGCAGCTTGATACGACCGCAGAAGTAGAACCCTGAACAGTTGGGGCAAGTATGGACACAACATTCAAGCTTGATACAGCTCTGAATTTGGATTGTTATTAAATATTTGACACAGCATAGGTTTCTGACACAGAAAGAATGTGGTCTAAGAACTTGAATTTTTTTAATTTACCTATTATGGTCCAATGTCCAAAATCAAAATACATGGTTAGATTCAGCATATCAAAGAACCCCATATATTCAATTTTTGTTAAAATCAAACAAAGTTTAATTTTGGACCCCAACTTGGGCAAACTTGAAAACTTGGCCCATAATCAAAAATCTAAACACATGTTTAGATTCAGCATATCAAAGAACCCCAAGAATTCAATTTTTGCTAAAATCAAACTATGTTTAATTTTGGACCCTTTGGACCTTAATGTAGACCAATTTAAAAAACGGGACTTAAAATTAAAAATCTAAATACACGGTTAGATTTGGAATATCAAAGAACCCCAATAATTCAATTTTTGATGAAATCAAACAAAGTTTAATTTTGGACCCTTTTGACCTCAATATGAACCAATTTGATAGCGGGGCCCACAAATAAAAAATTCTAAATTCATGGTTAGATTCAGCATATCAAAGAACCCCATATATTCAATTTTTGTTGAAATCAAAAAAAGTTTAATTTTGGACCCCAACTTGGACCAACTTGAAAACTGGGCCCATAATCAAAAATCTAAACACATGTTTAGATTCAGCATATCAAAGAACCCCAAGAATTCAATTTTTGTTAAAATCAAACTAAGTTTAATTTTGGACCCTTTGGACCTCAATGAAGACCAATTTAAAAAAAACGGGACCCAAATTAAAAATCTAAAAACACGGTTAGATTTGGCATATCAAAGAACCCCAATAATTCAATTTTTGATGAAATCAAACAAAGTTTAATTTTGGACCCCAATTTGGACCAACTTGAAAACTGGGCCCATAATCAAAAATCTAAATACATGTTTAGATTCAGCATATCAAAGAACCCCATATATTCAATTTTTGTTGAAATCAAACAAAGTTTAAATACTGGACCCTATCTTGGACCAACTTGAAAACTGGGCCCATAATCAAAAATCTAAACACATGTTTAGATTCAGCATATCAAAGAACCCCAAGAATTCAATTTTTGTTAAAATCAAATTAAGTTTAATTTTGGACCCTTTGGACCTTAATGTAGACCAATTTAAAAAACAGGACCCAAAATTAAAAATCTAAATACACAGTTAGATTTGGAATATCAAAGAACCCTAATAATTCAATTTTAGATGAAATCAAACAAAGTTTAATTTTGGACCCTTTTGACCTCAATATGAACCAATTTGATAACGAGGTCCACAAATAAAAAATCTAAATACATGGTTAGATTCAGCATATCAAAGAACCCCATATATTCAATTTTTGTTGAAATCAAACAAAGTTCAATTTTGGACCCCAATTTGGACCAACTTGAAAACTGGGCCAAAAATCAAAAATCTAAATACATGTTTAGATTCAGCATATCAAAGAACCTCATATATTCAATTTTTGCTAAAATCAAACAAAGTTTAATTTTGGACCCTTTGGACCTTAATGTAGACCAATTTGAAAACTGGACCCAAAATTAAAAATCTAAATACACTGTTAGATTCGGCATAACAAATAAATAAATGTGATCAAAGATTTTACAAATCTAATGCGCCATACTGTGCAATTAAAGATTACTTCTTGAAATTTTTCAATATTTGAAATTTGAAAAAAAAATAATATTTGAAGAATAATTCTTTTTAATTTCTGAAATCTGAAATGAGAAAAAATTGACCCCCCACAATTTCTTTTTATCCCCCCCCCCTTTTTTCCCCCAAAAAATTCTTTCCCTCAAGATATGGTCAAAATCTCAATTCAAATTTCCAATGGAGTTGGCAACCATAATTACCCATTTAAATTTACCATAGTGCTAACTTAATCTATTTTATAATAGAATTAAAAATATAGTGTCAAATCTTTCATATGGATTTTTTTGTAAAAAAAAAGATGCAACATTTGCAGATATTTTTACTGGTCTTCCTTTATAAATATGCATTTCTTTAAACATAATTTAAAAGCAGTGTAAGGGAAGTAACCAAAACGTTGTATTTGGATTACCTCCCTTACACTGTTTTAAATTATCTTTATTGTTCATTAACCATTACTTTATACATAATTTAAAAGCAGTGTAAGGGAGATAATTTCAATGATGTATTTGATTTATCTCCCTTACACTGCTTTAAATTATGTTTTGTACTAAAGTATTTGTCCATTAACCAGGACAACCTTGTTTTTCCCCCTTTTTTGCCCCTAATTCCTAAACGGTTTGAGCCATAACCCCCCAAAGCAAATCCTAACCATCCCTTTGTGGTATGGAAACTTGTAGTATAATTTCAGAGAGATCCATACAACGTTCCACAGTTATTGTCTGGAAACTAGAAAATGCTTATTTTTGGCCCCTTTTTGGCCCCTAATTCCTTAACTGTTGGTACCATAACCCCCAAAATCAATCCCAACCTTCCTTTTGTGGTATTTAACCTTATGGTCAAATTTCAAAAAGATCCATTCACTTAAACTAAAGTTAGAGTGCGAAAACCAATGTGTATTCGGACGACGACGCCGGACGACGACGACGCCGGACGACGACGACGCCAACGTCATACCAATATACGACCACAAAATTTTTTTGCGGTCGTATAAAAATCTAAATACATGTTTAGATTCAGCATATCAAAGAACCTCATATATTCAATTTTTGCTAAAATCAAACAAAGTTTAATTTTGGACCCTTTGGACCTTAATGTAGACCAATTTGAAAACTGGACCCAAAATTAAAAATCTAAATACACTGTTAGATTCGGCATAACAAATAAATAAATGTGATCAAAGATTTTAAAAATCTAATGCGCCATACTGTGCAATTAAAGATTACTTCTTGAAATTTTTCAATATTTGAAATTTGAAAAAAAAATAATATTTGAAGAATAATTCTTTTTAATTTCTGAAATCTGAAATGAGAAAAAATTGACCCCCCACAATTTCTTTCTATCCCCCCCCCCCCCTTTTGTCCCCCAAAAAATTCTTTCCCTCAAGATATGGTCATAATCTCAATTCAAATTTCCAATGGAGTTGGCAACCATAATTACCCATTTAAATTTACAATAGTGCTAACATAATTACCCATTTAAATTTACCATAGTGCTAACTTAATCTATTTTATAATAGAATTAAAAATATAGTGTCAAATCTTTCATATGGATTTTTTTGTAAAAAAAAAAGATGCAACATTTGCCGATATTTTTACTGGTCTTCCTTTATAAATATGCATTTCTTTATACATAATTTAAATGCAGTGTAAGGGAAGTAACGAAAACGTTGTATTTGGATTACCTCCCTTACACTGTTTTAAATTATCTTTATTGTTCATTAACCATTACTTTATACATAATTTAAAAGCAGTGTAAGGGAGATAATTTCAATGATGTATTTGATTTATCTCCCTTACACTGCTTTAAATTATGTTTTGTACTAAAGTATTTGTCCATTAACCAGGACAACCTTGTTTTTCCCCCTTTTTTGACCCTAATTCCTAAACGGTTTGAGCCATAACCCCCAAAGCAAATCCTAACCATCCCTTTGTGGTATGGAAACTTGTAGTATAATTTCAGAGAGATCCATACACCGTTCCACAGTTATTGTCTGGAAACTAGAAAATGCTTATTTTTGGCCCCTTTTTGGCCACTAATTCCTTAACTGTTGGTACAATAACCCCCAAAATCAATCCCAACCTTCCTTTTGTGGTATTTAACCTTATGGTCAAATTTCAAAAAGATCCATTCACTTAAACTAAAGTTAGAGTGCGAAAACCAATGTGTCTTCGGACGACAACGCTGGACGACGACGACGCCAACGTCATACCAATATACGACCACAAAATTTTTTTGCGGTCGTATAAAAACTGCAAATTTCCTTACAACAACCAATTTAGTGGCTGCAACCCAACAATGGGTTGTTAGTTGTGTCTGAAAATTAAATGGCTGATAGATCTTGACCTATTGAAAATTTTTACCCCTTGTCAGATTTGCTCTAAATGCTTTAGTTTCTGAGATAAAAGCCAAAAACTACATTTCACCCCTATGTTCTATTTTTAGCCATGGCGGCCATGTTTGTTCATGGATCAAAATTTCGGATACAATTCATAAACTAGATTCCTAAAGGAACATTCATTCAAAGCTAAGAAGTATTAGGCACAATAGTTTCAGAAGAGAAGATTTCTAAATGTTAGCAAACTTGATGAACACATTGCGTAAAATTGTCTTTAAAGGGCAATAAATCCTAAAGGGGGTCAATTGACAAATTTGGTCATTTAACTTTTCTGTAGATCTTACTTTGCTGAACATTATTGCTGTTTACAGTTTATATCTATCTATAATAATATTCAAGATAAAATGCTTCGCTGAGCACAGCCTGCAATGACCGCAGAGATCGAACCCTGAACAGTTTGGGCAAATTTGGACACAATATTTAAGCTTGATACTGTCTTAATTTGGATTGCGATCAAATTTTTGACATAATATAGGTTTCTGACACAAAATTGATGTGGTCAAAGATCTTACAAATCTATTGCGCAATACGGTGCAAGTGAAGATTTCTTCTTGAAACTTTTCAAAAATTCGAAATTTGAAAAATTTTGAAAAAAAAAATATGAATCCTTTAAAAAAATTGGAACCACCCCCCCCCCCCCCCCCCCCCACTTTTTGAAACCCCTCTTGGAGCAATAACCCCAAAACTCAATCCCAGCCTTTCCTTTGTAAAATGGAACATTGTAGTACAATTTCAGAGATATCCATACACTTAAACACAAGTTATTGTCTGGAAACTAGAAAAATGCTTGTTTTTGGCCCTTTTTTGGCCCCTAATTCCTACATGTTTGGGGCAATTAACCCCAAACTCAATCATAGCCTTCCCTTTGTTATATGGAACCTTGTGGTACAATGTCAGAGAGATCCATATACTTACACACAAGTTATTGTCTAGAAACTAGAAAAATGCCTTTTTGGTCCCTTTTTGGCCCTTAATTCCTAAACTGTTGGCCCCATAACCCCTAAAATGAATACCAACCTTCTACTTGCGGTATTAAACATTGTGGTACAATTTCAGAGCAATCGAAATACTTATACACAAGTTATTATCCTGAAACTAGAAAAATGCTTGTTTATGGGACCCTTTTGGGCCCCTAATTCCTAAACGGTTGGGACCATCATCCCCAAAATCAATCCCAACCTTCCTTTTGTGTTATTGAACTTTCTGAGAGATCCATTCACTTAAACTAAAGTTATTGTCCGGAAACCAATGTGTCTTCGGACGACGACGCAGACGACATCATACCATTATACGATCCCAAAAAATTTTTTGCGGTCGTATAATAATAACAAAAAACTGCAAAATTTCCTCAAAACTACCAATTTAGTGGCAGCAACCCAACAATGGGTTGTTCGATTTGTCTGAAAATTTCAGGGCTGATAGATCCTGATCAATTGAACAATTTTACCAATGTCAGATTTGCTCTAAAAGCTTTAGTTTTGGAGATATAAGCCAAAAACTGCATTTGACCCCTATGTTCTATTTTTAGCCATGGCGGCCATGTTTGACGATGGATTAAAACTTCGGATACAATTTATAAACAAGATATCCTAAGGAACATTTAGATGAAGTTTGAAGGTATTTGGCCCAGTAGTTTCAGGAGAAGATTTTTAAATGTTAGCAAACTTGATGAACAAATTGTGTAAAATTGTCTTTAAAGGGCAATAACTCCTTAAGGGGTCAATTGACAATTTTGGTCATAAAACTTTTTTGTAGATCCTACTTTGCTGAACATTATTGCTGTTTACAGTTTATATCTATCTATAATAATATTCAAGATAATAACAAATAAAATGCTTCGCTGGGGCGCAGCTTGATACGACCGCAGAGGTCGAACCCTGAACAGTTGGGGCAAGTATGGACACAACATTCAAGCTTGATACAGCTCTGAATTTGGATTGTTATTAAATATTTGACACAGCATAGGTTTCTGACACAGAAAGAATGTGGTCTAAGAACTTGAATTTTTTTAATTTACCTATTATGGTCCAATGTCCAAAATCAAAATACATGGTTAGATTCAGCATATCAAAGAACCCCATATATTCAATTTTTGTTAAAATCAAACAAAGTTTAATTTTGGACCCCAACTTGGACAAACTTGAAAACTGGGCCCATAATCAAAAATCTAAACACATGTTTAGATTCAGCATATCAAAGAACCCCAAGAATTCAATTTTTGCTAAAATCAAATTAAGTTTAATTTTGGACCCTTTGGACCTTAATGTAGACCAATTTAAAAAACGGGACTTAAAATTAAAAATCTAAATACACGGTTAGATTTGGAATATCAAAGAACCCCAATAATTCAATTTTTGATGAAATCAAACAAAGTTTAATTTTGGACCCTTTTGACCTCAATATGAAGCAATTTGATAGCAGGGCCCACAAATAAAAAATCTAAATTCATGGTTAGATTCAGCATATCAAAGAACCCCATATATTCAATTTTTGTTGAAATCAAAAAAAGTTTAATTTTGGACCCCAACTTGGACCAACTTGAAAACTGGGCCCATAATCAAAAATCTAAATACATGTTTAGATTTAGCATATCAAAGAACCCCATATATTCAATTTTTGTTGAAATCAAACAAAGTTTAAATACTGGACCCTATCTTGGACCAACTTGAAAACAGGGCCCATAATCAAAAATCTAAACACATGTTTAGATTCAGCAAATCAAAGAACCCCAAGAATTCAATTTTTGTCAAAATCAAACTAAGTTTAATTTTGGACCCTTTGGACCTCAATGTAGACCAATTTAAAAAACAGGACCCAAAATTAAAAACCTAAATACACGGTTAGATTTGGAATATCAAAGAACCCCAATAATTCAATTTTAGATGAAATCAAACAAAGTTTAATTTTGGACCCTTTTGACCTCAATATGAACCAATTAGATAACAATGTCCACAAATAAAAAATCTAAATACATGGTTAGATTCAGCATATCAAAGAACCCCATATATTCAATTTTTGTTGAAATCAAACAAAGTTTAATTTTGGACCCCAATTTGGACCAACTTGAAAACTGGGCCAAAAATCAAAAATCTAAATACATGTTTAGATTCAGCATATCAAAGAACCTCATATATTCAATTTTTGCTAAAATCAAACAAAGTTTAATTTTGGACCCTTTGGACATTAATGTAGACCAATTTGAAAACTGGACCCAAAATTAAAAATCTAAATACACTGTTAGATTCGGCATAACAAATAAATAAATGTGATCAAAGATTTTACAAATCTAATGCGCCATACTGTGCAATTAAAGATTACTTCTTGAAATTTTTCAATATTTGAAATTTGAAAAAAAAATAATATTTGAAGAATAATTCTTTTTAATTTCTGAAATCTGAAATGAGAAAAAATTGGCCCCCCACAATTTCTTTTTATCCCCCCCCCCCTTTTTCCCCCCAAAAAATTCTTTCCCTCAAGATATGGTCATAATCTCAATTCAAATTTCCAATGGAGTTGGCAACCATAATTACCCATTTAAATTTACCATAGTGCTAACTTAATCTATTTCATAATAGAATTAATAAAAATATAGTGTCAAATCTTTCATATGGATTTTTTTGTAAAAAAAAAAGATGAAAACATTTGCAGATATTTTTACTGGTCTTCCTTTATAAATATGCATTTCTTTAAACATAATTTAAAAGCAGTGTAAGGGAAGTAACCAAAACGTTGTATTTGGATTACCTCCCTTACACTGTTTTAGATTATCTTTATTGTTCATTAACCATTACTTTATACATAATTTAAAAGCAGTGTAAGGGAGATAATTTCAATGATGTATTTGATTTATCTCCCTTACACTGCTTTAAATTATGTTTTGTACTAAAGTATTTGTCCATTAACCAGGACAACCTTGTTTTCCCCCCTTTTTTGCCCCTAATTCCTAAACGGTTTGAGCCATAACCCCCCAAAGCAAATCCTAACCATCCCTTTGTGGTATGGAAACTTGTAGTATAATTTCAGAGAGATCCATACACCGTTCCACAGTTATTGTCTGGAAACTAGAAAATGCTAATTTTTGGCCCCTTTTTGGCCCCTAATTCCTTAACTGTTGGTACCATAACCCCCAAAATCAATCCCAACCTTCCTTTTGTGGTATTTAACCTTATGGTCAAATTTCAAAAAGATCCATTCACTTAAACTAAAGTTAGAGTGCGAAAACCAATATGTATTCGGACGACGACGCCGGACGACGACGCCGGACGACGACGACGACGACGACGACGACGACGCCAACGTCATACCAATATACGACCACAAAATTTGTTTGCGGTCGTATAAAAATCTAAAAACACGGTTAGATTTGGCATATCAAAGAACCCCAATAATTCAATTTTTGATGAAATCAAACAAAGTTTAATTTTGGACCCTTTTGACCTCAATATGAACCAATTTGATAGCGGGCCCACAAAATAAAAAATCTAAATACATGGTAAGATTCAGCATATCAAAGAACCCCATATATTCTATTTTTGTTGAAATCAAACAAAGTTTAATTTTGGACCCCAATTTGGACCAACTTGAAAACTGGGCCAAAAATCTAAAATCTAAATACATGTTTAGATTCAGCATATCAAAGAACCCCATATATTCAATTTTTGTTGAAATCAAACAAAGTTTAATTTTGGACCCCAACTTGGACCAACTTGAAAACTGGTCCCATAATAAAAAATCTAAACACATGTTTAGATTCAGCATATCAAAGAACCCCAAAAATTCAATTTTTGTTAAAATCAAACAAAGTTTAATTTTGGACCCTTTAGACCTTAATGTAGACCAATTTAAAAAACGGGACCCAAAATTAAAAATCTAAATACACGGCTAGATTTGGCATATCAAAGAACCCCAATAATTAAATTTTTGATGAAATCAAACAAAGTTTAATTTTGGACCCTTTTGACCTCAATATGAACCAATTTGATAGCGGGCCCACAAATAAAAAATCTAAATACATGGTAAGATTCAGCATATCAAAGAACCCCATATATTCAATTTTTGTTGAAATCAAACAAAGTTTAATTTTGGACCCCAATTTGGACCAACTTGAAAACTGGGCCAAAAATCTAAAATCTAAATACATGGTAAGATTCAGCATATCAAAGAACCCCATATATTCAATTTTTGTTGAAATCAAACAAAGTTTAATTTTGAACCCCAACTTGGACCAACTTGAAAACTGGGCCCATAATCATAAATCTAAACACATGTTTAGATTCAGCATATCAAAGAACCCCAAGAATTCAATTTTTGTTAAAATCAAACTAAGTTTAATTTTGGACCCTTTGGACCTTATTGTAGACCAATTTAAAAACGGGACCCAAAATTAAAAATCTAAATACACGGTTGGATTTGGCATATCAAAGAACCCCAATAATTCAATTTTTGATGAAATCAAACAAAGTTCAATTTTGGATCCTTTTGACCTCAGTATGAACCAATTTGATAGCGGGTCCACAAATAAAAAATCGAAATACATGGTTAGATTCAGCATATCAAAGAACCCCAAGAATTCAATTTTTGATGAAATCAAACAAAGTTTAATTTTGGACCCTTTTGACCTCAATGTGGACAAAGTTGATAACGGGGCCCAAAAATCAAAAATCTAAATACATGGTTAGATTCAGCATATCAAAGAACCCCATATATTCAATTTTTGTTGAAATCAAACAAAGTTTAATTTTGGACCCCGATTTGGACCAACTTGAAAACTGGGCCCATAATCAAAAATCTAAATACATGTTTAGATTCAGCATATCAAAGTACCCTAAAAATTCAATTTTTGTTAAAATCAAACTAAGTTTAATTTTGGACCCTTTTGACCTTAATGTAGACCAATTTGAAAACGGAACCAAAAATTAAGAATCTAAATACACGGTTAGATTCGGCATATCAAAGAACCCCAATAATTCAATTTTTGATGAAATCAAACAAAGTTAAATTTTGGACCCTTTGGACCTCAATGTGGACCAATTTAAAAACGGGGCCAAAAATCCAAAAACTTAATACACGGTTAGATTCAGCATATTAAAGAACCCCAAGAATTCAAGAATAAAACCCCATTGAAATTGATCAAGAAATAAGCAATTTATACGAAGTATCTTCTTTTGCACAATACTGTGCAATTGAATATTTCTTGCTATTGTGCAATACTGTACAATTGACAATTTCTTGCTATTGTGCAATATTGTGCTATTGGATATTTCTTGCTATTGCGCAATACTGTGCAATTGAAGATTTCTTGCTATTGCGCAATACTGTGCAATTGAAGATTTCTTGCTATTGTGCAATACTGTGCAATTGAAAATTTCTTGCTATTGCACAATACTTATTAGATAATAATTTACACATCCTGTTTGGTGTGTATCTCCTACCATATCATTATTATTTGCTTTTAAATATTAATCAGAAATAACCAACTTAAAATGGAAAATTTTAAAAGAAAAAAAAAAGGAAAAAAAAAAAAAAAAAGAAAAAAAAAAAAAAAAATCCCCCCCCCCAATTTTTTGAATCCCCTTATGATTCATCACCCCCAAACTCAATCCCAGCCTTCCCTTTGTGGTATGGTACCTTGCAGTACAATTTCAGAGAGATCCATACACTTGAACACAAGTTATTGTCTGGAAACTAGAAAAATGCTTATTTTTGGCCCCTTTTTGGCCCCCAATTCCTAAACGTTTCGGGCAATTACCCCCAAACTCAATTCCAGCTTTCCCTTTGTGATATGGAACCTTGTAGTACAATTTCAGAAATATCCAAACACTTACACACAAGTTATTGTCATGAAACTAGAAAAATGCTTGTTTTTTGCCCCTTTTTTGGCCCCTAATTCCTAAAATTTTGGGGCAATTACCCCCAAAATCAATTACAGCCTTCCCTTTGTGATATGGAACCTTGTGGTACAATGTCAGAGAGATCCATACACTTACACACAAGTTATTGTCTGGAAGTTACAAAAATGCTTATTTTTGGCCCCTTTTTGGCCCCTAATTCCTTAACTGTTGGTACCATAACCCCCAAAATCAATCCCAACCTTCCTTTCGTGGTATTGAACCTTATGGTAAAATTTCATGGAGATCCATTCACTTAAACTAAAGTTAGAGTGCGAAAACCAATGTGTCTTCGGACGACGCCGGACGACGCCAGACGACGACGACGACGACGACGACGACGACGACGACGACGACGACGACGCCAACGTCATACCAATATACGACCAAAAAATTTTCAATTTTTGCGGTCGTATAAAAACTGCAAAATTTCCTTAAAACTACTAATTTAGTGGCAGCAACCCAACAATGAGTTGTTTAATTCGTCTGAAAATTTCAGGGCTGATAGATCTTCACCAATTGAACAATTTTACCACATGTCAGATTTGCTCTAAAAGCTTTAGTTTTTGAGATAAAAGCAAAAAACTGCATTTGACCTCTATGTTCTATTTTTAGCCATGGTGGCCATGTTTGTCGATGGATCAAAACTTCGGATACAATTCATAAACTAGATACCCTAAGGAACATTTAGTTAAAGTTTGAAGGTATTTGGCCCAGTAGTTTCAGAGAAGAAGATTTTTGAAATAGTTTACGACAACAGACGACGGACGCCAAGTGATGGCATAAGCTCACATGGGGCCCTTTGGGCCCCGGTGAGCTAAAAATGCTTGTTTTTTTGGCCCCAAATTCCTAAACGTATAGCGCAATTACCCCCAAACTCAAAACAAGCTTTCCCTTTGTGATACGGAACCTTGTAGTACAATTTCATAAAGTTCCATACACTTACACACTAGTTATTGTCCATAAACTAGAAAAATGCTTGTTTTTTGCCCCTTTTTGGGCCCTTATTCCTAAAATTTTGAGGCAATTACCCCCAAAATCAATCCCAGTCTTCCCTTTGCGGTATGGTACCTTGCAGTACAATTTCAGAGAGATCCATACACTTGAACACAAGTTATTGTCTGGAAACTAGAAAAATGCTTGTTTTTTCGCCCCTTTTTGGCCCCAAATTCCTAAACATTTGGGGCAATTACACCCAAAGTCAGACCCATCTCTCCCTTTGTGATATGGAACCTTGTAGTACAATTTCATAAAGATCCATACACTTACACACAAGTTATTGGCCTGAAACTAGAAAAATGCTTATTTTTTGCCCCTTTTTGGCCCCTAATTCCTAAAATTTTGAGGCAATTATCCCCAAAATCAATCCCAGCCTTCCCTTTGTGATATGGAACCTTGTAGTACAATTTCAGAAAGATCCATACACTTATACACAAGTTATTGTCATGAAACTAGAAAAATGCTTGTTTTTTGCCCCTTTTTTGGCCCCTAATTTCCTAAAATTTTGAGGCAATTATCCCCAAAATCAATCCCAGCATTCCCTTTGTGATATGGAACCTTGTGGTACAATGTAAGAGAGATCCATACACTAACACACAAGTTATGTCTGGAAGTTACAAAAATGCTTATTTTTGGCCCCTTATTCCTTAACTGTTGGTACCATAACCCCCAAAATCAATCCCAACCTTCCTTTTGTGTTATTGAACCTTATGGTAAAATTTCATAGAGATCCATTCACTTAAACTAAAGTTAGAGTGCGAAAACCAATGTGTCTTTGGATGACGACGACAACGACGCCAACGTCATACCAATATACGACCGCAAAATTTTTTTGCGGTCGTATAAAAATTGCCTTGTTAAAACATCAGTAAATGTTAGACTAAAATAAAATATCAATGTTTATTATTGTACCTTACATTATATAGTAATTATTTGATTGGCTAATATGGAATCACGTGTCACAGTTTAATTTCTATGCTTTTCCAAAAATTGGCAGGATCAGTAAATAACCCCAACAAATTGAAGCCATCGAACAACCCTATTATTCCCCAGTGAATAACCCCGACAAATTGAAGCCTCTATCGAACAACCCTATTATTCCCCGGTGAATAACCCTTGTCCTTCTTCAATTGTCACAAGTTAACTCCCTTTAAAGTATGACGTCACTTTACATCAGATAAACTAAAACAAATATGGCAAGGGCAAGGTTAGAAGCCCATCAAGTGATGAAGAAACAAAATCAAACAAGGCAGCTTGGAAATTCATCTAGTGCCGACGATATATCTTGTAAACATCCCATTTCAGGGCCATCTATATTTTACAGACAAAGTCTACCTTTGTTGTACTGATACGAGAAATGTTAATAGACACAAAATAGTTTTCTAACGTAAGTGTTTTGACAATATTTTACTTTTAATTGTAATTTGTTCGTTCGGTTTAATAAAACAGTTATGGCCCATTGAGTCGGTGAATATCCAAAATTGTCAACCTGAGTAAGGGTTATTCCCCTCAGGCTAAAGTCCTCATGGAATAACCCTTACTTGGGTTGACAATTTTGGATATTCACCTCCTCAGCAGGCCGTAATTGTATAATGTTACATCATGTATTCTGCAATCAGAGTCTAAAATTATAACCAGTAAAAAGTTCAAAGCTTGAAATAGATAATCTTAAAATTTATGTACAATTCTTACTATCAGAGAATTCTGTTGGTACACAACTGTAGAGACTTCCTGTTGTGAAAGATGAACAACCACTTCCACGGTTCCTGAACACAACCTCGTCATCTTCACTAACAGGTAACCTTGACCTTATATCGGGAGAGCCATGACCACTAGAGTCGGTATCTTTACTTGTGTTGCTAGTGTTGGCTGAGTCTAGTGTCTCATCATCACTCTCACTAAACTCGGCAATATCTGAAAATATTATATGTTTTTCTATTACTGCTTTTTTCTTAAATTTTGCCTTGATCTTTTTATGTGATCATTTTCATTCTCAAGCAACTCAACTGATAATGGTTTTATGAAATGAAAAATGATCTGTGACTATGACTATGGCTGCAAAAATAAAAAAAAACCATTGTGTCATTAAGACATCTAACATTATGAAAGATAGCATGACATGTGACCTTTATTCTTGTCATAAGCTACAACCAGAAAAAAAACTATGCTTACCATGGTTGTCTGTAGGATGTTTAACATGAGAAAATATAGCATGGTCTGTGACTTCCTCTCATCATAAGCTATGGCTACAAAACAGACTTACCATGGTTGTTATTAGGACGTCTTACATGAGGAAATATAGCATGGTCTGTGACTTCTTCTCATCATAAGCTATGGCTACAAAACAGACTTACCATGGTTGTTATTAGGACGTCTTACATGAGGAAATATAGCATGGTCTGTGACTTCTTCTCATCATAAGCTATGGCTACAAAACAGACTTACATGGTTGTCATTAGGAAGTCTTACATGAGGAAATATAGCATGGTCTGTGACTTCTTCTCATCATAAGCCAAGGCTACAAAAACAGACTTACCATTGTTGTCATTAGGAAGTCTTACATGAGGAAATATAGCATGCTCTGTAACTTTCTTCTCGTCATAAGCTATGGCTACAAAAACAGACTTACCATTGTTGTCATTAGGACATCTTACATGAGGAAATATAGCATGCTCTGTAACTGTCTTCTCGTCATAAGCTATGGCTACAAAACAGACTTACCATGGTTGTTATTAGGACGTCTTACATGAGGAAATATAGCATGGTCTGTGACTTCTTCTCATCATAAGCTATGGCTACAAAAACAGACTTACCATTGTTGTCATTAGGACATCTTACATGAGGAAATATAGCATGCTCTGTAACTTTCTTCTCGTCATAAGCTATGGCTATAAAAACAGACTTACCATTGTTGTCATTAGGACGTCTTACATGAGGAAATATAGCATGGTCCGTGACTTCTTCTCATCATAAGCTATGGCTACAAAAACAGACTTACCATGGTTGTCATTAGGACGTCTTACATGAGGAAATATAGCATGCTCTGTAACTTTCTTCTCGTCATAAGCTATGGCTGCCAGACCCATTTTGTTCATCCATCTGTAGTTATAAACAGATATTATATTATGCCTATTACAAACATTGTAGTAATATTTTGTTCTAGCAGACAAGAGCCCTTTGTGGGATACCAATTTTCATGAATTTCGTGGGTACAGCTGAACCAGAAATCTAAATGTTTAACATATTCCTAACTTTCTATAGGCTTGTATGTTGACTTTGACAAAACCATGAAATAATATTTCCACAAAAAAGCAAGATTTCCTCAATCCATGAAAATTGATACCCATGAAAATAAAACTGCATGTTGTTGAAGTGACAGGTGTTTCAACATTAAATCCTTATAACATTTACTTAAAATCAAGGAAATGACATGAAGTATAACATGTAATTTTTACAGACTGAAACTGTACATGCATAGTATAGCTGCAGGAAAACCAGGACAATATCCTTCTCCAGCTATATTTACTTCAAATTGTCTTTTGGCTTTTTGTGTCACTGGGTTGATATCTAATGTGTGAATATCCCCACTTCTATTTTTATTCATATATCATATATATAAAAATAAGGAGATGTGGTATGATTGCCAATGAGACAACTCTCCACAAGAGACCAAATGACACAGAAATTAACAACTATAGGTCACTGTACGACCTTCAACCATGAGTAAAACCGTACAACATAGTCAGCTATAAAAGGCCCTGAAATAACAAATGTAAAACAATTCAAATGAGAAACTAACGGCCTGATTTATGTATATAAATACCCTTTCCTCAAAATAAATTTTCAAAAACTTACTTTTTCATATCCTCTTGTCTATCTGATGAAAATAGAAATGATGTTCCTAGGTTATGGATTTTAAATGCACTGAAAAAGAAATATTGGATTTGTTCATAAAATAGTTGGAAGCAGTCTTCTTTCATTAAAATTATGTACTAGAAACCTGTCAGACAAAATAAAAGAAGGATTGAGGGGACAAGTGATCTTATGGCTGGTCAAGAGCTATGTTTTCTCTATATAGACTAATAAAACTACAGAGACTTTTACATATCTCAGCAAAGTATTACCACTGTAGAGTTCTATTTACCCGTAAGCATAAATGTTTGCCAATACAGAAAGTAAAACATTTTCCTTAAAGTTTCTGTTAGATTAGAAACTATTCGACATGGCAGATAATCTTTTTTTTATCATCATTAGGTTTATCAGCTGTAATCTAAGTTTTTCATAGAATAGATCTGAAATGTGAAGTTATTGTGATCAACTGCCTGTAATCAGATTGACTTTTATTTTTTGTTTCATATCACAATATTATCCTTTAACATTTACTCTGTATTTATTTATTTTTTTATATAGGAACATATATAAGTCATATGAAATCTAAGTCATGTGATCTGGTGCCTTGTGACAACTATATTTATTGGGTATATCCAAGTGAAAAGTTCTGTATATGAAAAAGCTGGAATTAAGTGAATACAAAAACAAACAAGTAAAGCAAAATATTAACTATGTATAACCTGACACAAAACACTACTTCTTTTAAAGATAGTTTATATGAGCGAAAAACTGACTGCAATCAATGTTTTAATGCTACACTAGAAAGTGTAAAAATAAAAATACTATACTAATATCCTGTACAACATGATTTTTAACAGAACTGATAATTAACTACGATCTTCTACTGATATTACCCATATCCTCATGCATTAGCTATATTGTATAGTAATCTGTCTATTGTAATGGACTATATACTGCAGCTGTGCTATTTGCGCAGTCAAATTGTATTGACCGTATAATCATTTGTGATATACAGTTACCGACCGTATATCGCCTTGTTTATGATGTTGACAATGCGTTTCTGTAGAGTTTTATTTATGACGTCATTAAAAGTACAGGTTTGCATACTTTTTAAGTCGTTTGCCCCAAATTAAAAAAATGATGGTTATTACCCTATATATTTCATTTGGAACAGTTGTAGGAGTTGCAGTATATAAAGAATAACCATAAATTGTCTCCAAATATAAATTTTATTTGTTCTCGACTCAAAACAGGATAGAAATGCTCGGCAAAGCCTCGCTTTCTACCTGTTTCTAAGCCTTGTACAAATAAAATTATATTTCGAGACAATGTATGGTTATTCTTAATGTATATGTTACCCTCTAGACGTCTTCTGGTTATTTTTGTCATTGGGTTGCTATCTTATCAGGGACTGTTACCTTGTGAACTATTGGTCAGTGAGTCTGTTTAGTTCAAAGCAGGGTTAATGTTCATATATCATTAACATGTTCTTGTCCTGAATATACATTTAATTTTTCGCTGGCTGTTTAGCAGCCATCCATCATCATCAACGACATTTCCCTCACATCTATTTTATTCACATGTTGTTTGATATGAATATTATTTTTTGTATGGGACCAACAGGGACTGGTTTACTAAATATATCTGCAAGGAGACATGTCTGTCCTTATTATTCTGAAAAGGACCAAAAAAGTCTTTCATCTAGTTCCCATTTTTTCAAGTCTCAAATGTATTATTCCAGTTAAGAATCAAACCCATTAGCCATGAAAATTGTTACAAGCACAACAAAAATAAAAACATCAAGGCTGTTCAACAAACAAAGAAGTGACATGCTAAACTTCTCATAAAAAATAGAAAAAATCTTTCTCCCCTAACATATATAATCTGTTGGGAAAAACCTTTCTCCTCTAATATATATAATCTGTTGGTCCATTCCTTCCTGAATGCAATGACCAAAATAAGGCTTAACAAGAGCTTATAATTCAGAATAACTTTCATATTAATCTCATTCATGTCTGTAATTATTTTTCTATATTTTTTCAAAAAGTTATTACTGAATTGTAAATTTTTCATCATGGCAAACTTAAAATTTAGAAAAAATAACAAACTAAAATTCTTTTATGAGTATGTATGAAATTTTTCATACAGAGGTCGCAACAAATGTATTTTTTCTATCCGAATATGTTGTTTCGTTATCTCACTGTGGGGGGACAGAGAAATACACACATGAAAAAAAAAGAGTTCTAGAAAATAAATAACTACAAATTATACTGATCTCCATACTTCATGTGAATAAGTCAGTGCAACAAAACATTGATTTACAATATATTTATAGTTGCACTAAACATTACAACAGAAATTGTCATATATTATCTATAGATTTGTCATAAAACAAATTGCTAATAAATCCTCTTTCTCTCTTTCTGACAAAATTATAATTAAAACAAGTAAAACTACATCTAACTCTGTCGAGTGGCACATGCTAAGCAAACAATAAACATATAAATATGAGCAAATAACTACTTATAAAACAAGACCTAGTACTTACGTACTAACAAAGGAAGCAGAAAATAAATTGATCAACAATTTACGTTACAATTAATATAACTATAGGAATCTATTCTACTGTAAGTTTGGAATGTCAGAATGATTTAACAGAAAGGAGCCAAAGCAGATACTATTATCAAAAACATGTTAACTCTACTCAAGGAGAATGAACATTTTTGGGGGTATTGGGTCCTGAAAATTTAAAATTGGAATGGGGAACCAATTATTTCCTCAATTACTTCAATGCAGTTTTATCCAAATTGAGGGGCAGATTTTTTATTCCCTATATTAGACTGCAAAATTTCAATTACTTTCTCATACTAGTAGCCCCCTTCATGGTTTCTGGGAGAATTCTTGAAAGGTCATGACCAGCATTTAAGAGAGCAATACTGTTTTGAGTATTTATAGGGTCATTTTATTAACTTCCTGGTTAAAATAGAAAATAAAATTTGGACCATTTACTCAGACAATCATCCAACCTATACATTACAGAATCACTTAAAATTTAACAGAAGTTGAAAGTTTAATGAATAACAATTATTAAATTTGTAGTATATCTAAAGGGTATTCATTAAACTTTCAACTTCTGTTAAATTTCAACTTCTGTTAAAATTTAACAGAAGTTGAAAGTTTAATGAATACCCTTTAGATATACTACAAATTTAAGCATCTTTACATAATTTTCATCTCGTTACAATATCCCATTAAAAAGATGGTAGATTTATAAGGGACTTCATTCGTGGGTACTGGATTGGTATCCTGTAACTGGGATCATATTCCTATCAATTACCAAAAATATAAAATAATTTGATACAATTATTAAGCTTAATTATCGAACTTCAGAATAAAGGCTTTCTAAAAATGTTTATATTATCTAAGGAATGACGACACAATTCACTAAGAGACATCATAAGGGAAAATCTTCAGAGTTTTATCAATTCAAAATTGGCACTTACTGTTATATTAACATGGTGCACAAATAACTTTATCTTAAGGAGATTAGGAACTTATCATATGGAACATGGACTTGTCTATAGTTGAAAATCCTAAATTTCTTTTTCATTGGTTTGTTGTCTCATTGCTGTCTTCCCCACATCTCCTTCTTATCATAAACTTTTATATAAAAAATTTCCCTTGATCTATATTTCATATATTCTAGCTTTTAACTTTTTGATATGAAGTTTATGCATAAAGAGTGATCTTATTTTGGTTTTATAATTGTAGGTAGAAAGACCAGCATTTTAAAGATCAACATTTTTAATGTTACTTCATTGCAGAAATGTATTCAGAAGTAAAGAAAATCAAAATTGAGAATACCAGTAGAAATAAGAATTGATATTTATATTTTTTTTAATTAGAACACACACATTCATTTCTTTAATCAACATGATCAAGAAGGCTATTGAATAATATTGCTATCAAACACAACGGGGAGAGAAACCACTTACTATTTACTGGTTTTGACCTCTGGAGCTGGGGAAACTTGAAAGGCAGGTAGATGTATAACACCCTCAGCCTTCTGATCCTGTAAATCACAGATTTTATGTAGATTTATAAGCAAGTACACTGCATAATTAGGTAAATAATGTATCTTGTTTGGTAGAACTTACAACCATTTAGGTCAAGCTACAGTACATGGATGATGTCATAGATTTTATAAGATTTATGCAAAATACCTAACCAGAGAACTTCACATTTGAATACAAATAAATTGATTTTCCTTTTCGTTGATGTAAAAAAATTAAAGTCACTTAATTTGTTTTTGATGTAATTAACCATTCTATTCAGTATCGGTATATATCGGTAATCGGTAGAAAATTGTAATTAACCATTCTATTCAGTATCGGTATATATCGATAATCGGGAGAAAATTGTAATTAACCATTCTATTCAGTATTGGTAATCAGTAGAAAATTGTAATTAACCATTCTATTCAGTATCGGTATATATCGGTAATCGGTAGAAAATTGTAATTAACCATTCTATTCAGTATCGGTATATATCGGTAATCAGTAGAAATTTGTAATTAACCATTCTATTCAGTATCGGTATATATCGGTAATCGGTAGAAAATTGTAATTAACCATTCTATTCAGTATCGGTATATATTGGTAATCGGTAGAAAATTGTCAAATTGTGGTTTGATTGCTTTGCCACATTGGTTTTATAATAGAAGAGATTGTAGTTCTTCATAACACATCATCCTTTGACCCCCTTAGATACACCATCCTTTGACCCCCTTAGATACACCATCCTTTGACCCCTTTAGATACACCATCCTTTGACCCCCTTAGATACACCATACTTTGACCAACTTAGATACACCATCCTTTGACCCCCTTAGATACACCATCCTTTGACCCCCTTAGATACACCATCCTTTGACCCCTAGATACACCGTGATTTATCTTACACCATCCTTTGACCCACTTAGATACACCATGATTATCTTACACCATCTTTTGACCCACTTAGATACACCGTGATTTATCTTACACCATCTTTTGACCCACTTAGATACTACGTGATTTATCTTACACCATCTTTTGACCCACTTAGATACACCGTGATTTATCTTACACCATCTTTTGACCCACTTAGATACACCGTGATTTATCTTACACCATCTTTTGACCCACTTAGATACTACGTGATTTATCTTACACCATCTTTTGACCCACTTAGATACACCGTGATTTATCTTACACCATCTTTTGACCCACATAGATACACCGTGATTTATCTTACACCATCGTTTGACCCACTTAGATACACCGTGATTTATCTTACAACATCGTTTGACCCACTTAGATACACCGTGATTTATCTTACACCATCTTTTGACCCACATAGATACACCGTGATTTATCTTACACCATCGTTTGACCCACTTAGATACACCGTGATTTATCTTACACCATCTTTTGACCCACATAGATACACCGTGATTTATCTTACACCATCGTTTGACCCACTTAGATACACCGTGATTTATCTTACACCATCGTTTGACCCACTTAGATACACCGTGATTTATCTTACCACTTTATTTTTATAATAGAAGAGATTGTAGTTCTTCATAACACACCATCTTTTGACCCACTTAGAGCTGAAGGCTCCTCCTCTATCACTACGTTTCTTATATAACCAACCCTCACAGTCACCTTGACCTAAATCTTTACATGAAACTCGACGATCTGAAAATAGAAAATGATGACAATAATACACTTCTATTAAGTCCAGAACAACAGAAGTCTGTACTTGTTAACTGATTGACCAAATCTGACTGGTTGACTTTACAATGACCTTTCTGTACCTTTTACTTTAATAACAAGAGTAGGATTACAAATGTCTTATTCCTTATATTTCTCATTATTTTGAAATCCACCTCTACCAAAATATAATGCTTCATCTTTTTATTCTTTTTCTCATCATGATCATTTAATATCATTCATATGAATTGCAACACTATGGCATTAATAAGGATCCTTTGAAATACTGGATATCATGTATTATTATATGACTATAAAATTTCTGTTTTCTTATTGGCTAAAGTCATAAGGAATCTTCTTTTGTAAAACATTATATTCACTGGGGGAAAATCATGAGAGATTAATATAAGACTGAGAACAGTAAACAAGTATCAAAATGATTATTTTCAAAGGCAACATGGTCAGATGTAGCTTTATTTATCATGCAAATTCTCCTTTTTTCTTCTTTATTTTTTTCCAGCTTTGATCTTTTTAAGTAACTTTTATTGAATATTTCAACTTCTAAAAGTTAGCAACTGCCAAAGCAGATAATATATTTTTGAAAAATAAGGAGCAGTTATATATCTTGAGCTAATATTAGAAATTTGGAAATGGATAAAAAGTCATCTGATAAAACAATTGTTGACTTTTGATATCAGTTGATATATAATGATTTATCAACCCCAGAGATATGACATTCACTCTCAGACTTTGGCCTATGTGGATATCATATCTCTGGTGTTGATAAATCATTTTCTCTTAATTCTTAGCAGATTTATCCTTTGTCTGACCTGTTGATTATTTTTATTTATTCAACATGTGGTTCGTTTGATGTCAGTTCTTCAGAATTCATTTATGACGTCAAATTTTCTTGCTTTCCTCTGAATTTTCTATTGAGATGTCATGAAAAAAGGAAAGCATGTCTGATTATTTTACATAGAAATAACACACCTTTTTACAGATCATTGGACATGTTGAAAAAGAAGGATCAAATTTGTCTGCATATAGTCTTAAAAATCATAGAGAAACAGGTACTGTGACAGAAATGCAGTTAAGCATAAGACAATATTTGTAATTCAATGTTTAATTGTAATCCATGATAAATTACCCTTTTGAACAATGCGTTAACGAAAACTACATGGAAAATCATCCTTTTACCCTTGGTTGCTATGAAACTCGTTGTTGCTAGGGTGCTCTCCTTGAGGTCCGCGCTATTGGTATATAAAGACACCGATACATTGTGCGAGTTCGTTCATTTGTTATTTGGCTGTTGATGAATAAGCATCGGAAAGAGAATACCAGCAAATAAAGAAAGTCTAACTGAGAAGTTTGTAAACCAAGTTCGAGTTGAAAGCTTGTGGTTTGAAGCAAGCGGTTTAGAAGTCTTTACGATTGTTGCAAGCTACCGGGTTGTTCTGAAACTGTAATTTCCCACGGGAATGGTCGCAGTCCCTCGAACAGGTAGTTTGTAATAGTATGGTGACTTCGGTACTTCGGAGACTAGGTGTTTCAAAACTAGTTGTCTCAGGAACTAGGAGTCTCGGAGACTAGGTGTCTCAGAAACTAGGTGTCTCAGAACTAGGTGTCTCAGGAACCTATGGTTTTGAAGCTTGTCCTCTTATAGTTTTTGAAAGGTTATAATTGTTGAGCAAATCGGTTGGGACCTCGGAGTCAGTGAAAGGATTAAGGATAAATTGAGGTTATAGTTTTTAGACTACTTTTTGATACAAAGTTAATTGTGTAAATATTGTTGTTTCTTTATTAAGTTTCAAAGTTTAAAGATTGGTCTCGTAGTTTTTAGTAAAGCCTCCAAGTTGTAGTTAGATTTTGAGTTAATTAAAAGATTGATATTGGAGTATCTCAGATTCTGTGAAAACGGATACGAACAGATAGTTTATAAGCCAAACACGTTACAGTACTACCACCAAATCTTGTGCAATAGGATATTCCTCCGCTCTCAACAGATTAATTTTAAATTTGAAAAATGAACTATCTCGAGTGGAGAAATATCGTATCACCCTCGATGCAGTGGTAGAATCTATTATGTATCAACCTAATCAAAAGTCAACATATACTTCATTATATCACTTTATATTCATTTCCAAATTTCTGTCCATATACTCCCCAGACAATGGCTACCTGGTCCAAAACCAAATGCAGCCTTATGACATTCAATGCTATAAACTATATCTTAAATTCATAAATACAGTAAATTGAATATCTTACTTTTCATAGAAACTCAGTCTGAGTGATATAATTAAGTTTTCAGTGAGTTTAATTGTCTTATTACACTGATTTGAAATGTTAATAGAAACAGATGTCAATATCCAAATTTAATAAAACAAGAGTGCACACTATGAAATGTCTCGCCTGCTTTACTGACCATTGAATTTATGTTGAAAGTCTTAAAGATAAAGGTTTTATTACAAATATCACATAAGGTTAACATTTTTAATGATCCACAACAATGAGGTCATAGTTAGATAAAAACTGTCAGCCAAACATATACACCTTACAATTATTCCATACACCAAATATAGTTGACCTATTGCATACCGTAATTGAAAAACAGACCAAAACACAAAACTTAACATTTACAAATGAACCATGAAAATTAGGTCAAAGTTAGATGATACATGCCAGACAGAAATGTACATGCATCTTACAATTATTCCATACTCCAAATATTGTTGACATATTGCTATTAGTACTTGAAAAAACAGACCAATGAACCATGAAAATGAAGTCAAGGTCAGTTGATACTGACAAGACAGACTTGTAGACCTTACAATCATTCCATACACCAAATATAGTTGACCTATTGCTTATAGTACTTGAAAAACAGATTGAAACACAAAAAACTTATCATTGACCAATGAACCATGTAAATGAGGTCAAGGTCAGATGAAACCTGCCAGTCTGACATGTACATGATGTACCCCTTACAATCATTCCATACACCACAGTTGATCTACTGCTTATAGTATCTGAGAAATGGACCTAGTCATGTAACTTTGACCTTGATCATTGATCCATGAAATGAGGTTGAGGTCAGGTGAACCCTGTCTGACAGACATGTAGACGCTGCAAGGAACCCATATACCAAATATAGTTATCCTATTACTCATCACAAGTGAGAAAATCCCATGAAAATAAAATGTAATTTGTTTCAAGCAGTCGCTGAACCATGAAAATGAGGTCAAGGACAATGGACATTTGACAGAAGGAAACTTCGTAACATAAGGTATCTGTATACAAAGCATCCCAGTCATCTACCTTCTGAAATACAAAGCTTTATACAAATAGTTTATAACGTTGCCACCGCCAGATAGTAACCCCTATGCCTCGCATACTATGACTTTCATCACAGGCAAGACAAAAAAACTGCATTCTATAGAATCTTGCATTGTAAATAAATTATTCAGTGCTGAAGAAATTTTGTTTAACTTACCTTTACATAGGAATGCTACATAATTTACCAAATAGAAAGTTACATCAATAACAAAATGCTATGCCACATGTAAGAAAATAATTTTCATACGAATACAAGGAGATGAGGGGTATACATCAATTAGAGAACAACAAAACACCACAAATAAATTAAAAGACATCCAGAGGCAACATAATGTCTTCAGACTGGTTCTATACAAAATGTAAAGCTCTTAATTGCCGACATACTGTCGTTAAAGAGACACTGGTTGTACACAAAATGTAAAGCTCTTAATTGCCAACATACTGTCTTCAAAAACAGACTAGTTGTATACAAAGTGTTAAGTCTAAAAAGTTGTGTATAAAGCATCTTTAAGAACTTTCTTGGTGTCACATGTGGAGCAGGATCTGCCTACCCTTCCTGAGATCTCCCTGTTTTTGCTGGGGAAATGGTGGCTCAGTCTGTGGATTTCTATGTTGTGTTTTGTAGACAGTTTGTCTTTTGGTAATTTTTGGTTTTTTGACATGGCGTTGTCATTTTGTTTTGGATTTATGAGTTTGAATATTCCTTTGGTATCTTCCCCCTCTCTTTAACAGGACTTTACTTACTTAAATCTGTTCCTCCTCTCCTTGTTTTCCTCCTCATTGTGACACTATGCTGCAAAATATTGAATAAAAAACATTTAGATAAGTAAATTTAATTTGTATATCAGTCTCAATCAATTTTTCATACAAAACATCAGCTCAGTAGTCAGTGCATTGGTTTTGACATGATTTATAACTCAACTTGGCTTTAATTCTTCATTGATAAATGAAGATAACTAAGGTACAAACTCCCTCAGACCAAGCTGACCATAGATGAATTTAGCTATTTTTATGATCTCGTTTGGTCTAGACCAAGCTGACCATAGATGAATTTAGCTATTTTTATTATCTCGTTTGGTCAAGACCAAGCTAACCATAGATGAATTTAGCTATTTTTATGATCTCGTTTGGTCAAGACCAAGCTGACCATAGATGAATTTAGCTATTTTTATGATCTCGTTTGGTCAAGACCAAGCTGACCATAGATGAATTTAGCTATTTTTATGATCTCGTTTGGTCAAGACCAAGCTGACCATAGATGAATTTAGCTATGATCTCGTTTGGTCAAGACCAAACTGACCATAGATGAATTTTTATGATCTCGTTTGGTCATATAACGCTTCACATATTCAGTTATTTATACTTTTTTCAAATGTTTGAGTTTGAAAGTTCCTGATGAAGGAAAATCCAGAAAAACTTCAGACACACGTATTTATAAATAATTTATAAAGGGTTATTTTAATAATCAAAAAAGATTGTTTAACCAATTATAAAAGTACATCATATAAACAAAATATTTGAGGGCATATACTCCTTACCAAATGAAACATATGAAGAAGTGAGAAATGAGTCATTGTTGGTTTTATATTATCATTTCTGAAATATGTTAACACTAATAAAGAGCTGCGCCATGAGCGCATGATACGCCCGTCATTTTAATGATTTTTCAACGAATAAAGTTCCATAACTCCGGAATGTCATATCAGAAATTTATAAACAAGAGTGCACACGCTGAAATGTCTCGCCTTCTTTACTAATCATTGATATTATGTTGATAGTCCTAAATATAAAGCTTTATTACAACTGTCACATAAACTTAACATTAACCAAGTAATCTAAACATTGACCAATGAACCATGAAAATGAGGTCAAGGTCAGATACCATGCTAGGCAGGCATGTACAGCTAACAATTCTTCCATACAACAAATATAGTTGACCTATTGCTTATAGTTTAAGAAAAACAGACCAAAACACAAAAACTTAACACTGAGCAATGAATCTTGAAAATGAGGTCAAGGTCAAATAAAACCTGTGTGACTGACATATAGATCATAAAATATTTCCATACACCAAATATAGTTGAACTATTGCATATAGTATTAGAAAAAAAGACCAAAACTCAAAAACTTAACTTTGACCACTGAACCATGAAAATGAGGTCAATGTCAGATGACACCTGCCAGCTAGACATGTACACCTTACAATCATTCCATACACCAAATATAGTAGACCTATTGCATACAGTATAAGAAAAACAGACCAAAACACAAAAACTTCACTATAACCACTGAACCATGAAAATGAGGTCAAGGTCAGATGACACCTGCCAGTTGGACATGTACACCTTACAGTCCTTCCATACACCAAATATACTAGACCTATTGCTTATAATATCTGAGATATGGACTTGACCACCAAAACTTAACCTTGTTCACTGATCCATGAAATGAGGTCGAGGTCAAGTGAAAACTGTCTGACGGGCATGAGGACCTTGCAAGGTACGCACATACCAAATATAGTTATCCTATTACTTATAATAAGAGAGAATTTAACATTACAAAAAATCTTAACTTTTTTTTCAAGTAGTCACTGAACCATGAAAATGAGGTCAAGGACATTGGACATGTGACTGACGGAAACTTTGTAACATGAGGCATCCATATACAAAGTATGAAGCATCCAGGTCTTCCACCTTCTAAAATATAAAGCTTTTAAGAAGTTAGCTAACGCCGCCGCCGGATCACTATCCCTATGTCGAGCTTTCTGCGACAAAAGTCGCCAGCTCGACAAAAACAAAAGGGAGCTTATTTCAATGGATATCAACAAGTCACCATAGTTCATGAAAACTGATCAAAGGGTTTTTGAGTTATTGTCTGAAAACTGAAAAATCCCCCCTTTTATCATAAATAAAATTTCTGAACCAGGAAACGTAAAATCTAAAATTTATAAAAATCTAAAGGGAGCTTACGTCAATAGATGTAAACAATTCACTTAAGTTTCACGAAAATTGGTGAAAGCCTTTTTGAGTTATTGTCAGAAGTGTTGACGACTGACGGAAGGAGGGACAGACTGACAATGATATACCATAATAGGTATTATATAAACAGGGGTATAACAATCCAATCAATTTGATGTATGTTTTTAATGTGTAGGGAGCTTATAGAGCTTTGGCTTTCATTTACTAGTTATCTGAAAAATCGATTTGTTTAAATATAATGGATGAAATTAATTTTAAAAAAACTTCTCCTTTGGCATTTAAACGACTTGCTTTGATGACAACTAGATGTCTTTTCTGGTTTAAGCTGTTGGGTAGCTGAATGATTCTTTGGCATATACCCACATATAAAATAAGAAGATTTGGTATGATTGCCAATTAATGAGAAAACTCTCCACCAGAGACCAAATGACATAGAATTTAACATTTATAGGTCACCATACGGCCTTTATCAATGAGCTAGACCCATACCACATAGTCAGCTTTAAAGTCCCAGAAATCATAACTGCAAAACAATTCAAACGAGAAAACTAACGTCTTGATTTATGTACAAAACAATGAATGAAAAACAAATATGATATACAGCAACGAAAGAAAACCACTGAATTACAGGCTCCTGACTTGGGACAAGCACTTACAGAATGTAGAAGGGGTTAATAGATATAAGAAGATGTGGGTTAAACATGGTTGTGGGCACCAAACCCTCCCCGAACCTGGGAATGTGGTGTAACAGCACAACATATGAACAAGTTATAAAAATCAGTTGAAAAGGGCTTAACTCATCAGATCGATACAAAGCAGAAAAAAAAGTAGCAAAAACACAGACAGGACATGTCAGGGTATTCATACACCCCCACAACATAAAAGACACTAAGTACAGGTCTGACAGTACTCACAGTCACTGACAGCTAGTTCAAAGCCAATTACAACTAATAAAAAAATTATGTATCTAAGACTAAAATATCAATCAGAACAAATCCAACATTCAAATGCTTTAATGTAAAGACATCATTAACAGTCAGAAAAAAACATGACCTTGTGCATTGCCAAAATACAGGTATTGACAGATTATAGAACCGTGAATGTGCATATGTATATGTATATAACAATAATATTAGTTTGGTTTTAATTTACTGATAACAAAATCAATATTTATACCAATAAAAGCATTGGTTACCTTTTAGAATAAGTTTATTCAAAGGATAGATAAGTTTATACGGATCATATCTAAATTTCCGGGCTCGGTAAACAACATCTCCGTAAAAATTAGGATGTGCTATCACATTTGAAATAAGTTTTCTACAGGTACAGGTTATAACAAAAAAAGATGTATGATGGGCTTACAGATAAGCAGAATATAGGACAAGGCATAAGCAGTCACGAAACAAAATCTTTTAATTATTATGTAACCTTAACATTAAGCTTAACAAATTAACATTAAACATTAATAATTTTATTTTGAATAATCAACAACTGTTGAAATAATATTTATATATTGGATGATTCAGTTATATTTCTTATTCTGATGTCTGTACAAATGACATATTATGTCTATTCAAATGAACCTCTTAATGACCTTAACAAAACAGGAAATAAAACAGGATGCTGTATCTAATCCTATGTACATATTTTATCAATGACTTAAGTTTTTTTGCATAGTTTCTACAGTACATATAACATGTATAATAGACTATATTTAATTAAGCTGCCAAGATTGAAACATTCAAAAGTAATTGCATCACTTCAATGCATTATATTCAGTTTAATTTAACATGCTATAAAGCAGAATATGTATTATTATCAGAGAAATTAGTTTTGTTTTATCTAAGCTGGACTAAACAAAACAGTGCAACAGGATAATTCATTATGCATTTTTGATGTCAAATCAGCCTTCAGACTCGGATACTACGTGTATATACTTTTATAATAATTAAAGAAATTAAAAGAATGTTGGACTTGGTTTACTAAAAGTCAGTCTTTCTAAAGATGCATTTAAAAAATTGATATTTGTCAAATATTTGCTAAAACTTCATTGGAAACTGAAAATGTATAAGTCTAGTGCCTGTCTATCATTTGTAATCCGGTACTTTATCTTTTGAAAAAAAAAATGTTACAACATTACTAAATTATTTAATAATATCTTTTAGTTGTAATAAGTTTTAAGAGAAAGCTGTCCTGTTGCCTTTTTTATCTGTTGTTAATTTTAAAACATGAATCCCATAATTCTACCAGCTGTTAAAAATGTAAAACCAAATCCTGTGGATTGATTACAAACAAAGAAGCTAAATTTCTGATGCTAAGATAACAGAAAAAAACAACAATCAATTTAAACAGCTATTTCAGAATTAAAAGCAGAGCAATTTTTAAAGTTTTCTATGCCATTAAGCCTGGTGTGAAGGTCAGTCTTGGAAATTGTCAATCAATTTATAAGCCTGCAGTTAAGACTTTATTAACACTACTGACGGTTCACTGTAAGCTCAATCTCACCAAGGATCTAATCATTGTATACTTCTTTGTCGATCTGATCTAGTAAATTGTACTAATAGTGTTACATATAAATCTATTTACAAAGTAACTGTTATGATTACAAGTGTTTCAGGAATATATTTTATCAAATTGTTTCAAAAGCAAAATGCATCTCATCAAAAACAATTTACTTTTAAATATGAACTTTCAAACTTGATTGAAAAGTGAACAAATTGAGATTGAAGACCAACCATTTTCAATTCAACTAAATGTCTGCCCCCTCCCCACTTTGACCTGCCTGCGTATGCATATGTTTATGTTTAATAACTGTCAAGCAGATGTCCAAATAATTTTTGTATGTTCAGCCATTTATTTAACAATATATTTTCCACACACTACTTTGTGTGTGTTATGTGCAATGATGCTATATCTCTCAGGATAAACAATTATCTATTAAAGGTATATATATATTCTTAATGTTTTTTACTGTAACTTGATACTACCTGGTTAATATGTTTAAGTAGTACTATTACTTGTTGTGAAATAGGTAAAAAGTTAAGAGGTCAGTATTTGTGAAATATGAGACATGTAATCAAAAGTTAATAAAATGTGAGATGGTTACCGTAAAAAGAGCATGATACGGTCATAACATGTCACCACAAGTACACTATAATTGTGTATGTTAAACATGTCACCACAAGTACACTATAATGGTGTATGTTAAACATGTTTTTCCTGATGTTGTGCTGTTACACCACTGTCCCATGTTAGGAGGGTTATACAAACAAACTTGCTTGTTTCCAAGAAAGGTGGTTGTCATTGGTTGCAATATGTCTTGTTTTTTATTTCAAGGTTATGTTAACTCCTTTCAGATGGACATATTATATATACACTCAACAATTCTATGAACCATTCATACTTATTCCTCATAGTAACTCAGAAAATGACTTCATCATAAAAATTTAACAATTATCATAAATTTAGGTCAAGGTCAGGTGACTCAATCCAGACTGACATGTATATAGTTTACCTACATTATTGCTCACAGTTACTGAAAACTGACTGTATCATGAAAACTTTACATTCACTTATTAAGTCATTTAACCAGGAAATTAAAAGGTCAAGGGTATGTAATATATTTCAGATGGAAACTTTTAAAGATTGATTGATTGTTGTTTTACGCCACTTTCAACACTATTGTGCTATTTCGTGGCGGTCAGTTTTTATTGGTGGAGGAAGCCGGAGTGCCCGGAGAGAACCACCGACCTTCGGTAGGAAAACTGACAATCCTAGCCAATTAAGATTGGAGTCAAGTACACCTGCCTCGTTTGGGATTCAAACTCACAACCTCAGTGTTGACTGGCTAGTGATACAGTAGTTCGACTACTTAGACCACTCGGCCACAGAGGCCCCTAAAACTTTTAAAGACCCAAAGCTTATAATTTACATATTTTGACCTGTAGTGGTTTTTTTCAATATTGAATATGGTGTTGATGGCAAATTTTTGAAACTTTGTTTAATTCATTCAGAACTTGTTGAGGTTTATGTTTATTTAAATCAAGACACATGGTACTGAGACTTATCCTGGAGACTGTGCTGGCATCTCGTCTTTGTTATTTCATTGTGTTTTTGAGTTTCAGTGAGATATACATCACATCTCAATTAGTTCATATAAGATTTAGATGAATGATGATGTTTATTTTCACGGTAGAGTATATAACTTACCTCCATCTGAGGTGCTTTATTGATAGGTATTTTCACGGTAGAGTATATAACTTACCTCCATCTGAGGTGCTTTATTGATAGGTATTTTCATGCTAGTCAGAGTATATAACTTACCTCCATCTGAGGTGCTTTATTGATAGGTATTTTCACGGTAGCCAGAGTATATAACTTACCTCCATCTGAGGTGCTTTATTGATAGGTATTTTCACGGTAGCGTATATAACTTACCTCCATCTGAGGTGCTTTATTGATAGGTATTTTCTGAGGTACACCACCAACTATTATTGTTGTATAACTGTAATTATAAAATACATTCAACCAATGTTCAACCAATGTTTATTTATTTATTTATTTATACCACCTTAAGTAGACATTAATCAGGCTGTTGGTTTTCTCTTCTTAATTGTTACACATAAGTCTTCTATAGCTTACTAAAAGGTATTGGTTTTGCACATTGTTGAAAACCGTAGGCTTACTTCCATATCATTTGATCTCTGACGTCTTATTAGTCATTATACCACATGCACATCTCCTTACTTTTATACAGTTTTCATTGTGAAAAGGTAATTCCATTAATCACAGTGTGTCTAGGACTTTTCTACAGTCCACTCCAGTTCAATTGATGTTGAATAAAATGTTGTTGAATACAGATTCTACCACTGCATCAAGTGGTCATATGATATTTCTCCACTTGAGACAGCTCAAATATCTAAAATTTAACTGCAGAAAGTGGAGAACTTCATATTGCACTAGATTTGGTGGTAGAATCTGTTTCTCTTATGATTTTTAGACGATATGCAGACAAACTTAATACTTCTTTTCCAATGATTTGCATGTGTTCTTTCTTTGCAATGTCATCAGGCACAATAGGAAATTCAGAGGAAGGCAAATGTGGAAATTAAATTGGCAATACATTTTGTACATTTAACATGCAAAGTTAGTAAAAAGTTCAAAGTCAATGAACCATAACTGAAGGTAAATAGCCAAATAATCTCTTTGGAAATGAGATTTGCCAATTACTGCTAATACAACTGCATACCAAATATTATTGATCTACAAATAGTGGTTCCCCCTTTAATTGACATATTAACAAACTTTAAACAATATTAAATATGCAAAAGTTTTCAAAGTCAATAGACCAAGACTGAGGGAGCAGGGTCAAATAATCTCCATGGAAATAAGATGTGACAATGTTTATAGAACTGCATACCAAATATAATTGACTTACAACTAGTGGTTCATCTTAAACTGACCTATTTAAATCACAAACTTTAACATGAAAACTATGAAAAAGTTTCAAAGTCAATAGACCATGACTGAGATGGCAGAGCTCTTTATTATCCATGGCAATGAAATGCGCAAATTTTAATACAACTGTTTACCAAATATCATTGACTGTCAATTAGTGGTTCATCATAAACTGACCTAAGAAATAATATCCATGGAAACGAGATGTGCTTATACAACTCCATAAAAAATATCATTAACATACCATAAGTGGTTCCCCTAAAACTGACCAGAGTTTTTACAAATTGTTAATGAAGCACCCATGACGATGTCGGAAGTATAAGCTGTTATATATATGATACTCTAAAGAACTGAGCAGAATGATATATCTAAGGTTAGGAAATACATAAATACTAGTTCAATATCACCAAGTTTAGCTGTAATACCCCCACTATCAGTACAAAATATGCCAAAAGATGGCTAAATACTGAACTTCCTTAAAAAAATTCCAACATCCATATCTAAGTCCAAAGTACATGTATGTCAATCTGTACAAGATTCATATTGATATGCAACTACTTGTTATACTATAACACAAACAAATAAGCTGCTTATCTGCAAAGAGGGCTCACAAGGGAGGGAAGAGCAGCTTTTCATGAAATTTTGTAGGTCCAATGATCACAATGAAGTAAAAAACCATACCAATACAAAGCATATATGTAATGTATTACTTGTCAATATTAAATTTTATATCACATCAGCACAAATGTGCAAAGAAAGCTGACAATGGAGGAGAAAATCTTTTCCGAGTCCAAATAAGAGCCAAAATTAGACCAAAAGTACCAGTAGGTCAAAGTGGAACAAAATACTCAAACAAAATATTTACAGGGAAAACCATAGAAAAAAACACAAACAAAAGCTACCATTTTGCCTGCTGTACCCCAATGTTCTAACAGTGTCCATGTTCTGGCTTGTGTTCAGAGGGAACATGTTGGAAATTACACGTTGAAGATGAATCTGAGTTTGGTTTCTATAAATATATTGGTGTCCTAGTTTCACATAGAATGCCACCTTATATGCGGTAAGCTACGAAAAATAATCTGTCTACTTTATTTGTTTTTCATTTGCTATTTTCAGCACAAATTAGGCCATTGTTTAATTGTCTCATTGACAATTATACCTCATTTCCTTATCTTTACATCTATGCAGAATAGTGAATTGCCCTGTTATTATTTTTAAGCATAATACTGTCTAAGTAATTATATCTTATAAAGCCATACCTGACTTGACTTTGGTCATCACCGTTAGGGTCTTTCTGTGTAGAATTTCCTTCAATCTTTTTATTCTCCTACAATTAAAATTGTTTTCCTGTAACATGTGTAATATAACTATAAGTAGAAATCACTGTTGTAATTAACAACTAATTGTTAAATACATGTTATAATCTGTTTATCTAAGATGATATGGATGTATCTTGTTTCCTGAATGATGTAAACTTTGTATTGTTTATAAGTATCTGCAGTGTCACACATACTACAACTCATCCTTTAATGGGTCAATGGTCTTACTACTTAGAAAGTGTATTTCAGGAAATTATTGAAAAATTCAGGTAGATTTGCTTGCAAAATATTTAACAGAGAGGAGTTTTCAACTAATGAAGCTATTTGGTTTCCATTTGTCTCCCAGTTTCATAAGATATTTTTCATGAAGTTTAAAATAAATAATGCCATTTGAAGCCTTGTGATGGCAATAATAAACACTATCCCTTGTATGAGGTCAGCTACTAAGAAGATCACATTCAGGTGAATTTCTCTGTTATTACTTTTTAAGTGGAAAGAATAATATTACCATTGCAAGCAATATTCCTAGAAAAGACATACCTGAGTTAAGGTAGATAGGGTGTCTTCCTCCATCTTGGATTTTAAAATACCAGAAGACAATCGGTCTAGATCTTTAATAAAAGGTGCAAATTTTGAGAGTAGTAGGTAATTCATGAGTAAGAATTTTCATTTCAATATAGAAAATAACATATCTTATCATATTTATGGTTGTATATTACAAAAAAACAGAATACTTTTGTTTGATTCTATTTTTTCCAACTTTGCCACATAAGGGGAGGCAACTCAAATGTAAGGGCAGATAATTCAGATAAAGTTACTTTTACAATAGAATGTGTTAGGAATTTACCTATTTTATTATGTAGCAAGAAAACGGGTCCCGTGACCCTATTTTTTCTTTTTCTTATCTGAAAGCATACTATTAGAGCTATCTTCTCATATTCTATCTCAAAATTCTATGGTGTAGTTTTCGTTTTTTGGCAGAAAATTGGGTTTTCCATGCATAATCTATACAAAATCTGTCAATTTTGCATAACCTGTAGCGTGAAAATAAGCCCCGTGACCCATATTTTTTATTATTATTTTTTAAAAAGCATGATATAAACTACGCTTTGGCAAATTATTAAAAAATTCTATGGATTATAATTTAGACACCCCATCTACCTTAAAGGCTCTAACAATCTTTAAAAAGAATTTACAAATATTCTCTCTGTATTTTTTCAGCTTTCATTTAAGGACATACAATACAGAAAAGATCTCTTTAATTTTTTCTTAAAAAAATTGACAAAAAATCAATCACTATGAGGATAATTGAGTTATCTTTCTTGAAACCAAATTCTGTCATTCAGAGGTGCTCCTATCTTCAGAGGCTTAATAGACACAGTAAGAATTGATTCAGTGGCCAACATTTTTAGAAAGACAAAACAAGGACATAAAAACATCTGATTTTAAATTAAAGGATTTTAAGTAGAAAAATGTTTTTAAATGAGTTCATTTCAATTTTTGTCTTTATGTAAATCTTTTTTTGTTTGTTATGAAACTACAGCAAGGTAAATGATGCAAATTGTGGTCGTAGGAGAAATCTGTTAAAATCTTATTACAGACTGACCAATTCTATTTCAATGAATTAATTTTGAGGATCAATTTAAATATCTCATAAGATAAGCATATTACCTGCAACGACAAATTGTTTAGCTTGAAGTTGTAAACTTCTCGTAAATGTGTCACCAGGTAAAAATGAAGATTTTGTAAAAAAAAATGTTTACCTTTACAAATTTAAGGTGATGAACAGGATCAGAAATATTTTCTTTATTTTAAAAATTATTTCTAAATGGCCAACATGTTGAGCTCTGCATAATTTACTGATTTAAACATAAGGAAGTTTTGCACAAACTAATTAAAAAATAATTAATTTAAACAATAATTCAATACAACAAACATATTTAACCTATCTGAGAAACAGACTTTGCACAACAGTGAAAACTCAAAATTGACAAACAAACCAAGGAAATGAGTTCAAGGACAAAGGACAAAGGCCATATCAGACAGAAACTTCTTAACATAAGGTATCTGTTGCAAGGTAAGACGTATCAAGGTCTCCTACCCTCTGAATTATTTAATATTAAAGCTTTAAACAAATTTTTAAGGCTGTTGCTGCTGCTGCTGGATTAGCATCCCTTTGTCTCACAGTCTGTTTAAATCTTTGGAAGAAATTCTACTGGATGAATTGTGTCACTGAAGTTTTCCTGAAGTTTTCAGATGTTTGCCAACGATCTAATGTTTGCTTTACCAGGTTTATAATAATGGGTGTATCATGGAGGGTGTCAATAGTGAAGCAGGAACTGCTAACCTTTTACAGCACCTTAGTTTAACACCAGTATTTGGTGGGGTTTGTGTTGCTCTATCTTTAGTTTTCTTTGTTTTGTGGATCATTGTTTTTCCATTGACGGTGTTGGTCTTTTTTTGTTTTGTGGATCCTTGTTTTTCCATTGACGGTGTTGGTCTTTCTTTGTTTTGTGGATCCTTGTTTTTCCATTGGCGGTGTTAGTCTTTCTTTGTTTTGTGGATCATTGTTTTTCCATTGACGGTGTTGGTCTTTCATTGACGGTGTTGGTCTTTCATTGATGGTGTTGGTCTTTCTTTGTTTGTTTTCCAATCTGGTATCTTCTCTCCATTATTTCTGCATGGCCAATTACTGTTTAATTAATTTGTTAATTTTGTTTCGCTGCATTTGTTTGCACCTGTCCTTAGTCAGTAGCCTGTTGTTCAGTGGTTGTCGTTTGTTGGTGTGGTTCATAAGTGTTTCTCGTTTCTCGTTTTTTTTATATAGATTAGACCATTGGTTTTCCTGTTTGAATTGTTTTACACTGGTCATTTTGGGCCCTTTATAACTTGCTGTTCGGTGTGAGCCAAGGCTCAGTGTTGAAGGCCATACTTTGACCTATAATTGTTTACTTTTTACACACTGTGACTTGGATGGAGAGTTGTCTCATTGGCACTCATACCACATCTTCTTATTTCTATTAAACCTCTGAACAAGTAGCCTAAGTGTTTGATCATCTAGAAACCTGTACAAGAACTAGCCTGGACTATGACTTTCAGAGAGTACAAAGCAATCTATGTTGTTATTATTTGAAAGTTGAAATTGAGGCTTATTAAAAATGTTAATCAAAGTACTGAAGTACTGAACATCGGATGACCGCAAGTTCTGGTGAATGGTCACAAGCACCTGTCTCAGAAAAAAAAATCACATCTCTATACCTGAAAGTTAGGTTAGGGTACATAGATATATTTTTTCTGAGACAAGTTTGTTTGTGAATGATGAATAAATGACAAGAGAATTCAACCTCACCATAATAACTATTATATTGTAGTGATATAATCATTTGTTATCAGTATACTCAGTTATCAGTTTGTTGTTATATATTATATTCATATTTGCATTACAGTTATATATAATTTTCACCCATTTGTATATCATTCTTTTCTACTATTCTAATGATAGTGCAGTGCAAGTGCATGGTGGACATATAATCCATTTTTCAAATAGATTTGAGTAGGCATTCATATTTTCCCGCGTTTGTTACACAACGTTCTTGAGATATTCTTACGCATGTGTTAACAGAAATTTTCGTTATTCTTGATTTGTTATTGATATATATATTTCTCACGACAAAACATTTTCATATCATTTATCTATGTCCTTAAAAATTGTTTTCATGAATATTTATTGATAAAATTAATATATAACAAGCGATAAGGAGTGTTATTTTGTACACGATAATATCCCCGTAATTATACTGTTATCAGTCAAAAACAAATGTCACATGGGTAGAAATGTCTGTGGCAACAATACACCGGAATGCCCTCACGGTCATCCGATGTAAAAAACACAATATTTTTTGTGTTTGACAAGTTAATACTTACTTAAATTATATATAATTATATCTTAGTATGTCTTGCATATATCCAATGAAATTTCAACTACACAAAATTTAGTAAAATATTTCCAGGAATAAATTTCACAATAAATTTAGTTGTAAGAGGTCACATTTTATCCATTTATGTATTATTTTATTTTAACATAAGAATTAAAATAATATTAAATATATCCACAGACATATCATACAACAGAAGATGTAATCCCAATGTTTAAGGATCTAAGGTATTAACTCAGTAATTAACATACAAACTTCCTGTTGTATGTGATGTGAAACAGATTAACTTGTACTTGTAAATATACATATTATTGACAAATGCATTGTTAAAAAAACTTTTTAAACAATAAATTTCCCTACAAATTTTGACAACTTGTTCAACTTTCAATCAAGGTAAAATATTTTTGACATATACAATTTTATTACTTTTAAATAGAAAATTTCAAAGGGCTAAATCAAAGTACAAAGTGACAACTTTACTTTTTACATATTCATTAGCATATAAATAACTGCAACTTAATTATGGTTACGAACAAAGTCATATCATTGATGCTTCAAGTAAAACCAGGAAGTAAATTGTAGTGTTACTGATGGTCTCAACTTACCATAATTACTTTACACAGGTATATTTATTCCTCTCTCATTTAATCATAAGGAAGATGAAAATTATCAAAAGCTTAAAAAGTGAAGGTCACTGGTTTTAATCATTAATCATCCCCTATAAATAATTATACTTTTTCTATTTCGATTGTCTTTAAAATATAACAATAACGGGATGTACATGTTCAAGTAGGGGAAATAAAAGAGAAACGAATTAGCTCACTGTTTAAACAAACTGTGAAAACTTGCACTAAAGCGAAGGAGAATTTAACTCCTCCCCCTTTTACAGTGGGTGTGAGAGAGTAGACATTAACACTTCAGATTTTTCAACTTGTCCATGCTGCTGTGTAAATTCTTTTTTTATTTCACATAACTTGCAACTGTAATTCCCATTGATTTTTAAAGGAAAAAAAAAATTTTGTTCAATATCTTTACAAAAAAAAGTTTAAATATTGAGCATGTTGAGTGGAAATTGGTAGGCTGTTTTCTATGGACAGGTTTCAATACCTACTAGTTTTCCTCCTTAGGATTAACAAAATAATTAGTACTGTTAGATTTTCATCTACAACTTCCCTAAGTTTTTTTATTTTTCTAAAATCAAATTGATTGTGTGCAGGTTCCTGGTAACATTGTAATAATTGAACATGTTGAGTTTCCAATTTTGATATGGCAACTCGTTCAAAACCCTATGATTCAGAATATCAACTTAAACAATAGAAAAAAAAAATAAGTTACTTTAAAATTGTTATAAAGTTGAATTAAGTTTATTTTGTTAGTACATTATGTGATTTTTTCAATTTTTGCAAAAGGTGTAAAGGTTACAGAGACTAACCTATATATAGAACAAATATGAAGTATAAATTGTAAATGTCTACAAGTAAAATAATTAGTCAAGATAGAAGTTAAATTTGATTTGGTTAAGATAAAAGAGAAATTTGAAAGACAGTTTTACATTTGAAACATTTCTCACTTAATACACTGTTAAAATTTTAAATGCATATTGATTTTTTATTTATATCAATGATAAAAATATTTCCCTAACTGAATCTGCTTTTTTTAAAAATCAAACAACTAAAGAATGAAAGGCCATTTATTCTAATTATTGTCACAAATATTTCCCTTTTATATTGATTTCATTTCCAAAACTTAATCTTTAAATGTTTAACTAACTTCTGACTGTTTGAAAGTTACTAGTCTAGATAATGACCATATAAAGCTGTTCAAATTAACATTAATTTCCTTAATTTCTTTCATAATGTTTATTATGAAAGAAATTATTTCTTTACACATAAATAGGACCCCTGTAACAGGAACAAGTCCATTCACAAAGATATATAGTTCTAAAATTAGTATTTTTTTTGCAAAAATAACTAGAGGCTCTAAAGAGCCTCACTCACAGTGTCGCTCACCTTGGTCTATGTTTTACACTCTGCGACATTGTAGACAAGTAATTCATGACAAAAACCTCTTTTTTGTTGGTATTTTTTACCAGTAAGGAGTTTACTCAATACTGACTATTATAGTTTTCAAGATAATAGGTAAAACACAAAAAATTGGTAAAAATCGTCATTAAAGAGCAATAAATCTAATAAGGAACCCACGATATTAGCCATGTTGAATTATTTGTACTCTCAGGTCAAAAGTTTTTCACTTATCCCAAATTCCCCTATTATATTTCCTAAAAAAACACACTTTTATTTAAAACTTGTCAAAAACTTATTTGATGTTCGATTTTGATGAAAATGATAATGTTAAACTAACAGATGTGTACAGTTTTTATATTACCTTATGAAATATTTTTATATGTCATTACTGAGAAATCATTATTTGTATATAAATATTGAAATTAAGTGTCTTTTTTTCCTTCATAGCCATATGATTTTTTAGTACAAAAATTCATGTTTGTCTTTAAAAAGTGATTCCCTATTCCCTTAAAATAAAAAAAATCATTCAATTTGGACAAGAAATATTTTCAGTAGAATTTTTTTTAAAAATTTTATATGAAATAATAGGGAAATTCCGATAGATGAAACACTTATGACCTAAGACTGTAGATCTGGTCTTCCTAATTAGTTTTGCTTTTAAAAGTTTCTATTTATCTATAATTATAGCTTTGAAGATATTAGGCAAAAACGCAAAAAAAATGATAATATTGGTCATTTAAGGGCAATAACTCCAAAATGAGTCGACTGACAATTTCAGCCATTACACTTTATATTAGTAGACCTTGATTTGCTGATCATTTTTGCTGTATTAAGTTTCTCTGTATCTATTATAGTTTTCAAGATAATAGACAAAACTTGTATTTTACCCCAAGGTTCTATTTTCCTGCTATGTTAGTTTGCAGGCAGGGTCATTGGCCACATTTTCTAAACTATATACCCCAATGACCATTGTGGCCAATAGTTTCAGAATAGAACAGGGGACAATGGAGGACGATGACAGACGACAGAAGCCAAGTGATGGGAAGAGCTGGGCAAGGTGAGCTATAAATAAAAATATCCAACTATGCTCATAGAAATTCTTATGAAATTGCAAATTTGAATAACACCTAATGAAGATTATTGCAACACTTGTCCTGCTTACTTACATCCTTATCATGAATCAATATGTTTAAAGGTACAGATCCCTTTCATTCCAAGTTTCATCATCTTATGTCTTAGGGGCCTCGGTGGCCGAGTGGTCTAAGTAGTCAAACTACTGATTTACTAGCCAGTCAACACTGTGGTTGTGAGTTCGAATCCTGCACGAGGCAGCTGCACTCGACTCCAATCTTAATTGATTAGGATTGTCAGTTTTCCTACCGAAGGTCGTGGTTCTCTCCGGGCACTCCAGCTTCCTCCACCAACTAGAGGCTCTCAAGAGCCTGTGTCGCTCACCTGATTCTACTTTGGTTTTGGAAATCATGTAAAAATAGATTAAAATCATAACAGATACCCTTATAATGATTGAGGCCAAATTTGGTTTTATATTGGCCCCGTAATTTAATAAAAAATCCTGGTGCCCATCTTGAACAGTAAATCGGCAACAAAGTAGCAACACCATCAGCACCTCATAAGGAACATTTATGCCATGTTTGGTTTCATTCCATTCAGTGGTTCTCTAGAAGAAAACATTTGTATGTATTTCCCATAGGGTCCTATGTTAAACTTACTACCCCTGCTGGCAGCCATCTTGGATGACAAATCAGCTACAAAGTAACAACACTTGGTCAGCACATCAAATGAAACTTTCATACTATGTTTGGTTTCAATCCATTAAGCGGTTTTCCAGAAGAAGACATTTGTTATATTTCCCATAGGGTCCTTTGTTAAACTAAGTCCCCCGTTGGCAGCCATCTTGGTTTGATGAATTTGCTACAAAGTTACAACACTTGATCAGCACCTCATAAGGAACATTCATCCCATGTTTGGTTTCATTCCATTCAGTGGTTCTTCAAAAGAAGACTTTTGTATGTATTTCACATAGGGTCCTTTGTTAAACTAAGTTCCCCGCTGGCAGCCATCTTTGATGATTGATTGACTAAAAAGTAACAACACTTGGTCAGCACTTCATAAGGAACATTCATGCCATGTTTGGTTTCATTCTATTTAGTGGTTCTATAAAAGAAAACATTGTATGTATTTCCCATAGGGTCCTTTGTTAAACTAAGTCCCCCTGCTGGCAGCCATCTTAGATGATTGATCGCCTACAAAGTTACAACACTTGGTCAGCACCTCATAAGGAACGTTCATGCTATGTTTTATTTCATTCCATTTAGTGGTTCTCTAAAAGAAGACATTTGTATGTATTTCCCATAGGGTCCTATGTTAAACTCAGTCTCTCTCTGGTGGCCATCTTGGATGATGGATCGGCTTCAAAGTAACAACACTTGGTCAGCATCTCATAAGGAATATTCATGCAATGTTTGGTTTTGTTCCATTCAGTGGTTCTCTAGAAGAAGTTCAAAATGTAAAAAGTGAACGACGAAGACGGACAAGGATGAAGGACGGATGCCAAAAGATGAGAAAAGCTCGCTTGGCCTTTTAGGCTAGGTGAGCTAATAAAACTGACCGCCATGAAATAGCACTATAGTGTTGAAAGTGGCATTAAACACCAATCAATCAATCAATCAATATTTTGTCTGTTGCGACTAACTTACCCTATCTACTGCAGTGACTGAGTCTAACTTCCTGATCTTGACCAGCTGTGGTTCATTTTTATGTTTATGTTCATGAGCCAAGGTTGTTCTAGTGTTCCAATGTCGATCATAATCAACAAAGGTAGCATCTAAATCTTTAGGAGCTGATTTTGGCAATGATGACTGTTGCTTTTTTATACTGCTACTCAAATGGTTGATGTCTTCATTGTTTTGTTTTCTCACATCCCTTTCTTCATCAATATCGTGGACACCTGCGATATTTTTGTCTCTTTCAGAATTTTCCTTCCTAACGTGTTCTGTTTGAAAATTATCGCTACCAGAAATCTCTTTTTTGTCATGTTCTTTGCGAGACTGAGAAATTTTTTTGACTTCCTCCTGAATTTTTTGATCTAATTCAGTATTCTGTGTTTGTTTTCTACTGTCTGATAAACTATTTTCTTCACAGGTTTTCTCTTCTTTTTCTTCATTATCACAATGTTTTAAAATGCCCTTTATTGCTTGAGTTGCCTCCTCCCCACTCTTGTCCTCTGAATGTGTCACAGAACTGACCTCTTTATCACAACCATCATCATTTACCAAATTATCAAAGTCAGCCTCGTTTTCATTCTCATCATCAATTGTGTCATTTTCATTGGCTGATGTTGTCAATGTTGAGATTTTAGCAGTTAGTTCTGTCAGAGTTTCCTGTGATGATGTCATTGAAAAATCGTTATTCCATTGTTCGTCAAGACTATCCATGGAGTCGCTGACCACACACCTGGGTGGAGTCTGAAAATGTGATGGTACCTCAAGTAAGGCTACTGTCTTTTTCAAGTTTTGAAGTGTTCTTGTGTTATCAGCTTTCGAGGTGTCAGACTTGACACCATATTCCATGGACTGAGGAACAGATTTTGTCTGCTTGAAATCCTGTCTTTTCTGTTGGGCTGTCACTTTGTTCTTATCTCCAAACTTTGAAAAGCCGTTTTCATCACCTAAAATTATAAGATATATTTTTTTACTGATATATTCTAGAAGTTTATTCACAAGGCATCTGTTAAATAACAGACCCGTTAACTTAAAGACATGTAAACAATAGACCTGTTAATTTAACAGAGATGTCAATGAGTATGTCTGTTAATGGGGCAAAAACTAAGATTTTATCATAAAATCTAAGAAAAATAGGAAACAGGAAAAATGTAACTTGGATTTACTGATAACAAACATGATTCTAATATGGAAACTGACAAAATTTTATGACAAAAAAAAATACTATTGTGAATCAACAACAGAAATTTTATCATGATCTCCATAAACAGGAACCAGGAAAATGTAATATGAATTATTTAGTTTTTTTTGTCAATATTTTCCAAAATATATACTGAATAAGTTTAAATATTTAAAATCTCTAATGACAAACTACATTGTACGTCAATATTTATTATATAAATCTTAGTCAAAGGCTTCCTTTTAAAAAAAAAAATCATTTAAAAATTGAAAAGTAAATAAAATGTATATTATCATGATTATGATACTGTTGAAACCTCTGTTGCCAAGACTTTTTAAATGTATGGATGAAACTTAAATTTTATATAGCAACGATAGCTATGTATAAACTGTTTCAGAGCCTGAAAAGTAGCATGAGGAAAAGATTGTTGATATAAACAAAGTCAAGTTATTGAAACTGTATAAGCTTTGATATTACATTGATGTAGATTATAGTTGGTAGATTCTGATACAAGTGGTGGCATAATCTGGCCACTGTCAGATCATGAATGTGTATGTATATAAAAATACATCCAACTTTAAGCTTTTGACTTGGGCCAGACACATTAAGAATGTGCTGGGGCTTAACATGTTTCTGAGAGATAAACTTTCCTCAAACCTGAGACAGGACTATTATAGCACAACATAAACAAAACATAATAAAGCACAACCAACTTTTCAAAATTTTAAAGGGAGCTTTCTTCCCTCAACCATGTGTTACTGTTGACAGATGGATGGAAGCTGACTATTTTTTTCAATTTTGGCAAATTTTTGGGGTCGTTTTGAGAGGGGAACAAACAATATTCAAATTCAAGCCTGGTTAAAATGACTTCAATCTTATTTTAAAAATCAATGATTTATCATATAGAGATGCATTAATTATCGTACCAAACTCATCTATGTTCTGATACCTCCTCCATCCCTTCCCTCAGGTTTCTCCATACCTGGAACTGGATCTTATATTTTTTTTGAGGGATGTGTAAAACCCCAACCCTTTTCCTACCCCCAGATTCTTGCATACCTGGCACTAATTCCAATTCTGAGGGATGTGTATCACCTTAACCCCTTCCCTCTGATGTCTGCATACCTGGCACTGGTTCTAGTCCTTTCTTAAGAGTAAATATGCACCCCTCAAACCATCCCCTACCCCTCTGATTACTGCATAACTGGCACTGGTTCTAGTTCTATCTGAGGGATATGCATCCCTAAACCCCTCCCCTACCCCCAGATTACTGCATACCTGGCACTGGTGCTAATTCTATATGAGGGGTATGCACCCCCTCCCCCCTCCCCAAGATTACTGCATACCTGGAACTGGTGCTAATTATATATGAGGGGTATGCACCCCCTCCCCCTTACCAAGATTACTGCATACCTGGCACTGGTTCTAATTCTATCTAAAGGATATACACCTCCTGAACCCCTCCCCTACCCCCCAGATTACTGGCACTGGTTCTAGTTCTATCTGAGGGATATGCACCCCTCAACCCTGTAGTGGCCATATATAAATATAATAGCTGTTCAAGTCAACCATTTACTAACATCTAATTTCGACTTCCGCCCAAGCCAAGGTCACTAACGTACTGACATCGACAAATGAAAGTACAATAAAAGAGAAACATAGTTCGCGCTATTTTCACGACAAACCCCTCCTCTACCCCTACCCCCCAGAATACTGCATACCCCTGGCACTGGTATTAATTCAATCTGAGGGATATGCACCCCCTCAACCCCTCCTCTACCCCCAAGATTACTGCAAACCCCTGGCACTGGTTCTAATTCTGTCTGAGGGATATGTACCCTATCAACCCCCTCCCCTACCCCCCAGATTACTGCATACCCCTGGCACTGGTTCTAATTCTATCTGAGGGATATGTACCCCATCAACCCCTCCTCTACCCCCGATTACTGCATACCTGGCACTGGTTCTAATTTTATCTGAAGGAAATGCACCTCCTCCCCTACCCCCAGATTACTGCATACCCCTGGCACCGGTTTTAATTCCATCTGAGGGATATGTACCCCATCAACCTCTTCCCTACCCCCAGATTACTGCATACCTGGCACTGTTTCTAATTCTATTTGAGGGATATGTAACCCATCAACCCCTTCCCTACTCCCAGATTACTGCATACCTGGCACTGTTTCTAATTCTATTTGAGGGATATCTGATGCAGTAATAGTAAATGACTTCGGTCTGGTCGGTGTATCTGGGTCCTCTATAATCAGGAGTGTTCTACTGAGTGTTGGAGAACCACCGCTGACTGTGGCACGTCGATGTTGTGTGTTAGTTACAACAGGAAGTGTGTACTGTGGAGATTCCGATCCACTACGGAATACGTCGTTATCTGTATCGTTACCATCATCAGTTATATCGTTTATATCCTCTTTGTCATCAGAAGCATTCTCATTCTCATCTCTAAAATAAAACACAAATCTTTAAAATTATACTCATCAACATATACCAATTGTTTATTCAGCAATACAAACAAGTACACATGAGGCATAAACCTTCTGACTACTTAAATATAAGTTAACAGTCAATTCAGTCAAAATTGTATATTATATTATAATAGTATGTATCAGGTTTGTTCATTTTTTTTTTCTTACTATTTTGAAACTTTTTATGTTTAGTATTCAGACTTTGTATCCACCATGGAAGTTGACATTAGGCAAAGTCCCATTGAAGATCAAGAGGGTTCAAGGGGTTGGAGTGTTTGCTTCTTTGGAATTTTTTTTTTAATCCAAAATTAGACTGGAACCCCTTTTCCATGTAAAAAACTTCTCTTTTTAAATTTCTTGATATGTGCTGGTGTATAAAGTCTCTACTATATGCCAAAACTTTCTTATCGTTAATTTTTTCTATATTTTATTGGTACCCTTTATTTACCATACATTTGTACTTTTCTAAAAATTTACACTTCATATTTCACCCCTCTCCTTATTTTGTCCATTAAATTAGGGAAAGGAAAAAATCATACACATTGACAACAGTATCAATTGTTGAAATGATCTCATTGAGAACATTGACACTTAAACTTACAACTCTTGTTACACCTGAGAAAAGATAAATAATACAATATTCTACTATTCAATATAACAATAACAAACCTACCTTGTACAGAAAGATAAAATGCAACAACAATATATCTGTTTAAAAATATTTCACCCACACCAGATATCAATTAAATCACTTATATAATCTATATAACTTATCTCACATATAGGTGACACAGGTACAAAATATGTACTTCTCTTTTTATCACTATAAATATTACTTTTAAAAAAGATAATGCATTGACCTGGAAAAAATTTCTCCTCAATTTGTTAAAGATACATAAAAATTGTCAAGGTTTTTTCACACCAGCTATGATCAGTAACTATTTCATCAATATTATCAATGGCACAGGTACTGAAGCAGTCCATTGAGATAGAACAACACAAAATATGTATCAACTAATAAAATAGCGTTTACCTTTAGTTTAAATCTTCTGATTTAAGTGTTGAATACCTTACAACATATTATAATTTTATACACATACCATCGTAAACAAAAATACAGATACATGGATGGATGGACATAAAATGATGCTATCAATCAAAATCAATTTCTCATTGAATGCACATGAGCCATAACTTTGCACATTCCAATTTAAATTTGAATATTGTTTGTGCATGAGCCTCAAACAACAGTAAACAACTTACAATCTATTTATATAAGGAAAAAACGATGTAGAGTATACACTAACGTTTCAGTAACACAATGACCAAAATACCCATAGATTACTTATTTATGTCATTGTTACATTCATTGAGCCTTTTTTTGTAACCTACTTTTAACAAAAAATTTAACCTGATACGGCACTGATGCATCTATCAAAAAACCTAATGCCCCCTACTATCATAATCAGACATAAACATTTTAATGTATCTTCAGCATCATCATGTTAATAATTTATTCTGCAAAAATAGAATAAAACAGAACTAAAAACCATAATTTTGTCTTGAAAAGTGGGTCGACAGACAGGCTGATTTCTGTGTATGCCCTTTCCTAACTTTGACTGCAGTACATATGTACATGGTTATAATAACAGGCAATACTTATCGACAACTTGAGAAGGGATGAAATTTAGAACTGGCAATACCTGTTGGTTGCTATTCAAATAGGAAAATTGGGACAAACTGGGCATGGTTTTTGAAGTTCTCATACTTGGTTCAACATTCATTTTATCGCCTAACACTATCAAATTATCTTTTCTGTCTTAAATTACTGACAAAATCCCCCCCCCTCTTTTCCCCCTGCAATAACAGGACACCCCTATCTGCACATGAAAGACATCCTCACTATAACTGTAAGTTGCAGAGTCTCCAATTTAACAAGTAATTTGCGCAATATCTTAATTAAATAAAATAAATATTAGTTTAAACCAATGAACGCGACAAATACTTAATCTATTTATCAAGTATCAAATTACTAGTGTAAGACAAATATTTTTTAACTAGGAAGTCTGCATCTCAACCAAAGTTTTATCCCAATCATATAAATCATATGACAGGCAGCGTAACTTCCCTATCTCTCAAATATGTAATGCTATATTTGCACAGCTATTGGGATATTACTATTGGGATATTAGTATTACAGTATAAATATTCTATTTACATAATATACTTCACATTATTAACTCTGTTTGGTAAAAACAATATTACATTTTTGTACTACATCAGTTTTATCAGTTTTTCTAATAACAATAAAATACAAAGTAAGGTACATGTATGCCATCATTCTATCTGCATGAGCATCAAATTGAATTAACACTGTCAGTTTACACAGAAAAAATGTTCATTTATTCAACTATATTTGATAAGGGGCATACATTTTTACACCTACTCTTCCAAGAAACAGAACTCCTATATAAATAATTTACCAAAGCTGATATTCAATCTTAAGGATGTTCGCTCCTCTGGGTTTTTGAATTTTTGTCAGATGTTCGGGTTCCTCTGGTTTTACCCATGTAGTGCCATTAAAACAAATTGCCCATTAACCCCTACTTTTCTTTCCATAATTGGGGCCTCGGTGGCCGAGTGGTCTAAGTAGTTACTACTGTAATCACTAGCCAGTCAACACTGAGACTCCAATCTTAATTGACTAGGATTGTCAGTTTTCCTATCGAAGGTCTGTGGTTTTCTCCAGGTACTCCAGCTTCCTCCACCAATAAAAACTGGCCGCCACGAAATAGCCCAAAAGCGGTGCTTAAAAGTGGCGTTAAAACACCAAAAATCAAATCAAATCAAATCTTTCCATAATTTGATTACATATAGTTTAAAATGGCATCTTTGAAAATCTTATAAAATCCTTGTTATTTTTTCATCATTTTTGAAAGAAAAAAGGTGCCAATGTTAAATGTATGGAAAATCTAGAGAGAATTATTTCCCGCCAAATTTTCAATGGCTTATATCTCGAAAACAAGCACACGTACCCTTCATTTTTTTCTGCTTTTTTTAGTTTCTTTTTTTATATACTATCAACTTATATCAGTCTTTAAAAAGCTTGATATTTTGAAACAGAGTAGCAAACATCCTTAATTGCAATGTTTACAATGCAGTTTTGACTGTAATTTATATTTTCAAAGGGGCATAACTCTTTTAAAAACAGTTGGTAAGCACTGATTTTTTCCAATTTAGTTGAGAAATTGTTGAAATAAACCTTTGATATAAATCTCATAAAAAGTTGGCAAAATTATATGTGTGAGAGCCTGTGCAAGACTAGTTGGATGGACTGAGGGACAGATGCACAAACATTCCAAGTGACATAATTCCTTCAAAACCATTTGATTGGCATAGATTTTTGAACATATCCATGACATAACTGATACAGTATAAACATAAACCTTGGATATAAATTTCTTTTTTTTTGTTTAAAAATCAGGCAAGATCTGATTGATGGATACACAGACAGATGCCACTTTTTATACTTTGCAGTTGGGACAACAAACATTTGTCATGTTCTTTTTCCCACTCTGAAAAATATGAGAGCTTTAAAAATTGAAAATTTGAACTTCCTGTGTGTTCAAGGGAGATGAGATATTTTGGTGCTCTAACGCGAGTGCACCCAAATTGTACCTATTTGGACAGTATTTTCACCCACGTTTATTTATGATCCAGACAAAAGTTTCCATTCTGGGTTTATTTTGTAGATGTATCCTTATTTACTATATAGTTCCACCAATTTAATTTTGAACCCATATTGAATCATAGAAAAATGGGTTTGAACTGACCTCCAAACAATCCATGATTATGTAATGAGGAGTACCCTAATTGCATCCATGTTTAAAATTAACATCCTTAAAAATGGAATAAGAGATGGTTTGTTTTATTTCTTCAAATATTTATGGTTGAACATGTGCATGATGTGGAAGAGTTGTTTTAGTCTGTAGTATGACTTCAATCTCTCTATTCCATTTTCTACAACTGGGGATTCATTTATTTTCGAGGCTACCAATTTTCGAGGTTTGAGGAAAACTTGTATTTTCATGGGTATTTCATTTTGTTGTTTTGCCAAAATTTGCATACAATCCTTTAGAAAATTTGTAACATTTCAATTCTTTTTTTACCTTTACCCACAACATCCACGAAAATTGGTATCCCATGAATAATAATGAATCCCCAGTAGTTCTATTTACACAACACATCAACTAACATGCTCCTTTTATCCAGCTATTAATTGTACAACAGGAAGATTAATGAAAAAGAATTTTTACAAAATACCAGTGTCAAATAAAATACTGACACTTTTAAATAACAGCAGCCGTGTTGTATGCAAGGATCATTTTAAGGACAATTTCTTTGAAAGAAATGCTATCACCCAATCATTGAAATTTAAACTGGATTCATAATTGTAAGCAATTAGTCAGATTTAATTTTTTCCATTTTAACTTATTTTCTTGCTAGAAAAGCATATGTAAACAAATAAAAGAACAGATCTAGAGTTCCAATGTCGCACATATGTTATCTGTCCAAAGTTCATCAAAACTTTTTATAAATTTTTCAAAGAAATGTTGAGCTGCTGAATAAATATGAAGTCATTCTGTTCAGTAATTTCTGAAAAAATTAAGGTGTGTATAGTACGCAGGTTTTTACCCTGGGAATGATTTCTGGAAAGGGGGGTGCGTATAATGTATGGCTACAATATTCATTAGACTTTTTTCAGGCCGAAGTCAAACCAAGAAACCAGGTGGTCAGGAGGAAAATATTTTCATAGCATGAATATTTTCATAGCATAAATTTGATTTTTATTTGTTTTACATGTATATTTGTACCTTTTTGTATCTGATTTGTAATGTTATATGCAAATAAAAATCATTTAAATGCTTTAGTAGTTGTTTTTTTGTGTTTTCTTGTGTTCTCCGTTGCCACCCTGAAGTTGCATTTGATCATGTCCAAATCAGAGATGAAGGATTCTGTCAATGACCAAATTATTGTAGATGTTTCCCCGAATTTATTACTTACTTTGTATATGTGTTCTAACAAAGAATACAGAAGGTAAATGTATGAAAACTGAAAACACGCCTGTTTGATGATAGCGACCGCCATTCTTTTTTTTAATTTCGTAGTATCAGGTGATCACATGTCATGTGACTTTTCTTTAACATTGTAAAGTTAAATAAAGTGATGATTTCAAACACCTTTTTACTTTGTAATATTTAAAAAAAAAACTTCATACAAATCATAATTGCAGACATGTCAATGCCATTTTAAACTGTACATATTTGATTAAGGAACAAAATTGATCTGTCTGTTTTGTTTTGACAATGATTAGACTTCCTAATTGATATTCAATAAGGGTGTGATAATCCGGATTAAACGATTCAATGAGTACCAACAAACAATAAATAAAATTAGCAGGGATTAATATTTATTTCAGCACTACTCTATCAACATGAATATTACAATTAATGTATTTATTGTGTAGTTAAGAATATTTGTAATGATTCCATATTCCGTACAAGATTCACCGACTGCGATTTGCATTTAAACAACTTCCTGATTTAACTCTTCCTGTTGTTCTCAATCAAACACATCCTTGGAAACAATAAAGAATCAAACATCGTTTATACTAAATTATTTATTCTGCAACAATATTTTCATTATCCTGTATTCAACCAGGACTGGAGTTCAAATTGTCTCTGAAAAACATCACTTTTCAAAGGACCCATTTTACCTAGTTTCAAGTTGGGATTTTTCCAGAAAGTCCCTGCGTGTTAAGCACAAGAAGAAACTATTTTTCTCAAGCTTCAAGGGCGAAAAAGTGGGTGCGTACTATGGATGAGACCTTTTTATACACACCAAAAGACGGTATCAGACAGATTTAAAAAGTGATCACATTTTAGAACTTACCACTGTCAAGCTGCAGGTCAAATTTGAAGTCATTATGTTTAATTGTTTCTTAGAACATGCGACACAAATATTTGTTGACTAAACAGACAGTCAGTCGAATTGACATACATGCAGTCAGGGGTACTACTTGTACAAGTAATTTTTTTATTTACTTGAAGAAGTAAATACTAATATACTTATATAAGTAAATTTGTTGGATACTTATACAAGTGTATTTTACTTACTTGTATAGGTAAATTATTTTTTGGCCTAATTATGTCCCTTAGACATTCAGATTTTTTTTACTTATACAAGTAAAAAAGTCATCCCATCTTCTTTTCTTAAATTCTTAGAACTTCTTTGTTCTAACAGAATTTTGAATTGTCTGTCCTTTGCAAATGTCTTTACTAATCATTTAAGTGTAATTTCATGGACAATGAAAATCTCATTTGTCTGTTATCTTCAGAACACTGCTCATTTACAAGCCCCCAAGGAGCAATTTTTGAAGGCCTTGCGCAAATAATTAAGATCTTTGCGCAATCAGTTTCTTTGTTGAATTAATGAGATGAAACATTGAACTCTTATCAAAAATTATGAGCTAACCAGAGAAAAATTGTTAAAGGCATGATTTTACATCTTAAAACTTGAGAATTTTTGTAGGATTGTAAAAAAAAATTCACTTATACAAGTAAATTTTTAAGAAAATTAAGGGGAGATTATTCAAACATTATAATTAACTTATATAAGTATATTTTATTTGCTTCTTCAAGTAAATAAAGATTACTTGTACAAGTAGTACCCCTGACTGACATGGTGATTGCATGATAGCCAAACTTTAAATTGAGGGTATAATAATTGCAATATAGCCCAACTATTAGAGTGGAGGTGTGCAATGTGGTCTTTTGTTAAACTGTGTTGAGGTTCAAAATTAAAATAGGAATGTTAATTAGAATGGAAGCACTAGTATTGACCTTGCACACTCATGGTAGAACAAATCAAAATAGAAAAGGATAATATTTCATGATCATTGCACACAAATTGTTGTACACAGACTGAGAATGTCAAATGAATATTCATTGCAAGTCATTTACCAAAGCAGTGATTAGTATCACTTCTAGACCCTTTATTCTTTGTGTAAACTCATGACGGGGGAATCTATAACAGTGAACATTTAATGCTTCTTGCTCACAAATAACTAAGACAAAGCAAGAAAAAGAATGGACATTTAATGCACCTTGAAAAGTCATCATGTTCAGTGTAAGGCAAAAAAACTTTACCAAAGTGCTGGACATTGTAAACATATAAAACTGATAACTCACCCTACGACTGACAACAGGTTACTACCAGGGTTGACAAATTCCTGTAGAGATGGTCGTGGATTCTTTGGTTCTCCTTCGCGAGATCTACGTTTCTTCAGAGATTTAGGTAGAGTAGAGATCTGTTGGGCATGGTGTTTGTTCATCTGTTTACGCTTGTTGGGTACTTGGCCATATGGGTTTATATGGTGAGGCCGTTTTTTTAGTAACAAGGTTACCTCTTTGGGTTTTTCTTTCAGAATGTTGACAAGTGACTTCAACTGCCATCCAACCTAATGAGGTTTCAAAGTATTGGAAAAAATCAATTTAAGTCTTTAAACAAAAGTTATGTAGACATGAACATAGAACAAAAAGTAGTAAAAGCACTGTTCCTTTGCTTTGAGTTTTACAACAGTGTTTATTGATTTTGTGTCATGAATTGTTAACTGTATCCCTTCTTTTCCATTAGAAATGTACAACAATTATTGGCACCAGAATGTTTGTTATCCTTTTATATATGATTTTACATTTCAACATAGATATCATTGGAATATTATACATTGTTTTATTCACACTCCTTTTAATAATAACAGGATCCACCCCTTACACTTAATGTTTGTATTCTTTATACATTGTTTTTGTAATTAAAAATTGCCATGACAATACTAGTTTCACTAGTTATTTAATTGTTTATCACTAAATTCTTTGTGTCAATGTGCCATGAAGGTACCAAACTACAAAACTTGTAGGTTTGATAATAATGTAATTGAAATAATCAACAGGAGTTGCATACATCCACATCAATTAGACTCTGGTACATTGGGATTATCTCCCTTTGTCCTAAACCAGATTAGATTAAAATGAAAGCCTACAAATCCAAAAATGACTCTTACTTATGTTTTAGGAAATTAAATCATATAAGTGATGGTATTGGTATATTGTCTATATTTTGTCCTTAACATGCATGTTATATGACTACTAAATCATTCCTTCAACTGAACATTTATCTTTACAATGAATGTCTTAAAATTATCTCCCCTAACACAATTAATTAAACTAAGTGAAAATGATTGACATTGTAGTGGTTTGTTGAAACTTACTACAGTTCTGTTATTGACTTGTATAACTTCATCACCTTTCTCTATCTTCCCACATAAATCAGCCGGAGACTACAAACATTTAAAATAGTACAATAACAGCTTTATAGTATAGATTTGTTTTCCAAGAAAATTTTGTTACATAAATAAGTATTATTCTATGCCTTTGCCATTTCATATACTAATAATCATTCATGTAAACTTTACCTTTTTTTTATGACAGTATAAACTGATCAGATGTTGTTCAATTAATTTCTACATGACAAGTATATACAGCCCAAATAACAATGTTGATAATATTCAATAAATAATGTGAAAAACTATTGCATACAGGAAGATTACAAAGAGCTTATGAATTGTAATTTTGATATTTCTATAGAATTGATTGTGTGTATTTGTAATTGATTCTAATAGACTAAACTGTGAAATTAACTAAAGATATTTCAGGAAATGTTACATATCAATAACTTAATACAATGTCATAATAATTCTCAAGCTATCTTGTCACATCTTATTACAAGAATAAAATTTTTAAAAATGTATAAATTTAGAGTAGATTCACAAAATATAAATGTCCTGGATCACCTACCATTTCCTTGATTCCACCAACTACATGGATACCATAATACGCTGACTGTATAGTTATTCCCTGTTAATATAATCAATTTATAGCAATTTCAAATAATCAAAAGGCCTTACAGGAAACATACATGATCATGATGATCAAACATTATATTTATTTAACTGATACTTAGGTTCCACAGTCTGTAAATATTCAAACTGCTGTTTTTCAATGTGTTACAAATAGGTTATAGATACAAAATAAATGGCTGGAGTTATAGAGTGTACAGAAATTTATCTTATCAGTAATAGTTTAGAAGAGTGTGTACTATCTAATATAGACAACTTTCAAATTTGTGCATTTTCATGTAAATTTCCTATGTCACAATACTTATTTTATTAAGTAACAGTAAGAACTGATTATTAGATGGCATTGTTTAAGATGCTTGACCTCAGGTCAACCTAGTATATAACTCATTCCTAAATAAATGTGGATAGTGTCCACATGTGGACACAGATGATGCCCCCGCTTGCATATCATATAGTTATAAAGGGACATAACTGAAGAACGGCAAAAATTTTGTGGTAATAAGCATTGTGTGTAAGTCTCATAACATTTGGTTGAGGCTAACTTAAGTAGAGAACCGAAACTAAAAATTCAGCAATTTTTCTATTTGTAAACACGCATAACTCTAGAACTGTTGTGTATAAGTTTTATAACATTTGGTTGAGACAAACTAAAGTTAGAGAATGCAAACGAAAAATTCCGCAATTTTTATGTTTATAAAGGGACATAACTCAAGAATGGTAAAAGTGTCGCCACCAAATTTGTACTTAATCTGTATTATGTAGTAATAAGCATTGTGTATAAGTTTCATAACATTTGGTTAAGGCAAACTAAAGTTAGAAAATGGAAACAAAAAATTTGTACTTGATCTTAGTTTTGTGGTAATGAATATTGTGTATAGGTTTCATAATGTTTGGTTGGGGCAAACTTAAGTTACAGAATGGAAACTAAAAATTTAGCAATTTTTCGATTTATAAAGGGGCATAACTCAATAATGGTTAAAGTGACACTACTCAAATTCAACTTGATCTGTGTTTTATCAGTGGAAGTCAAAATTAAACATTGCATATATAGTATAAAGCATTGATTGTAGTTGATTCAACTATAATCATGGACAAAGGAAGATAACCCCAATTTTAAAAATTACTTGATATTTAGAAGAAATTATTTATAAAGGGGCATAACTCTAGAACCGTTAAAGTAACACCGCCAAAATTAAAAAACAAAATCTGTGTTTTGTGGTAATAAGCATTGTGTATTAGTTTTATAACATTTGGTTGAGGCAAACTCAAGTAAGAGAACTGAAACTAAAAATTTTGCAATTTTTTCCATTTATAAAGGGGCATTACTCTAGAACGGTTAAAGTGACGCCACCAAAATTCAAACTTGATCTGTGTTTTGTGGTAATAAGCATTGTGTATAAGTTTCATAACATTTAGTTGAGGCACACTTAAGTTAGAGAACGGAAACTAAAAATTTTGCAATTTTTCCATTTATAAAGGGGCATTACTCTAGAATGGTTAAAGTAACGCCACCAAAATTCAAACTTGATCTGTGTTTTGTGGTAATTAGCATTGTGTATAAGTTTCATAACATTTGGTTGAGGCAAACTTAAGTAAGAGAACTGAAACTAAAAATTTTGCAATTTTTTCCATTTATAAAGGGGCATAACTCAAGAATGGTTAAAGTGACACCACCAAAATTCAAACTTGATCTGTGTTTTGTGGTATAAGCATTGTGTATAAGTTTCATAACATTTGGTTGAGGCAAACTCAAGTTAGAGAACGGAAACCAATTATGGGACGTACGGACGTACGTACAGACGGACAAGGGTAAAACTTAATGCCCCCACAGCTACATAAAAACAACACGAGATTGGTGTATTAACTAAAGAACTTATCATAAAGTAAAAGGAAAATAATACATCGTCATTCACCAATTAAACTGTCTGTTTGAATAAAGATATAATTAATTGGAATAATCTGAATACAATCATACACTTTATAAATTTCTCTGAATAACAAAACACACACCAGTACATACGATTCAAACATTCAACATATTTTGACACCTTTTCTCTTTTCAAAAATCATTTGCTTTCAAAAAAATTAAAATACTTACCAGTTCTTCTCCTGGTTTCTTCCTAATGATGGCTATCTCTAATGATGTTGGCTGTATCACCAATGGGTCTCTGTTCTTAATAACTAATTCATCACACACCTTCGACAAGTTGTCACACTGTTAAATATAATTCATGCAGTCAATAGAAGTTAACAAATTCCTTAAGGGTTCCACAGTACCCCCGTGATTTGACTGCTATCACTGCTGTAAAAGTGTAATGTTGACTCCCAAAAATTAAATCAGTAAAATTCAGATAAATGAATAAAAACAATTCTAAATTTTCTTCAGACATTATTTCTTTATCATAAAAAAAAAGCTTTTTCCCAAAGGTTTTTAAAATTCTATGAAGGTTTGACAAAGTTATAAATGTTGAACAAACTTGATTACAGACTGTATTAAGTGTTAACTGAAAAAAAAACAAGTCTTTTTATCAGTAAAATATGGAAAATTGAAATAAAAATATTTCCAAAATTTATTCTGGATTTAGTCTTTTGATCATGAAAAAGCTTTGGTCCAAATTTTATCAATTGAAATAACATTTTACAAAGTTATTGATGTCTGAAAAACCTTAACCTTAAGACTGTATCTTGATGTTACTGTCAAAGATATATAAGTTTTTTTGTCAGTAAAATACAGAAATGAAGAAAATTATTTTCAAAAGTTTGCTCTGTATACTATCTTTTGATCATAAAAAAAGCTTCTGTCCTACATGCAGTTTCACAAGGTGTGACGAAGTTATTGATGTTAAAAATAAATGGAGAATGATGCTTGCATATAACCTCATTAAGAGACGTAACTAGAGAGCTGTAAAAGTGACACCATTCAAATTTGAACTTGATCTGTGTTTTAAGGTAATAAGCATTGTGTATAAGTTACATAATATTTGGTAGAGGCAAACTAAAGTTAGAGAACAGAAACGAAAAATTCACCATTTTTTCCATATATAAAGAGAATGGGAACTATTTTAGGGATGACTTATGTACAGACGGATGTATGTACGGACAAGGGTAACACTTATTAAACCCTCTGACGCTGCTAGACATAAAAAACTTGAACCTAAATGTTGATGCTGCTGCTGACAGAATGTAAGATCATTAAAGTCTTGTTTCTGCTACATAATGTTGCAAACTCGACAAAAAGGAGAAGGTACACATATGACAAGGCTACTTTGTAAGTGGCTTAAATTCGAAAATAAAAAAGTATTATAAATCTTACTCAATTACATCCTTCATATAATCATAAGACATTAGCTATAGTCTAATAGAGACCAGTATTTAATTTAATCAATCATGGCTATTGTCTATCATGTCTAGTAGATTACATAGATCTACAAATAGATTAGAAAACATACATGTATCGACATGTATATCTATTAGCAAGGCTGCTCAGAGAAATCTTTATAAAATAAACTGTTGATACAGAGATATGTGTTGCCTATCGGCATAAAATTCAGAAAAAGACAATCTGATGGACAGCAAGATGGCTTATTAATTCACAGTCACTGGACCATGATCAGGGCCTGAAAATGGTTGACAAACTGAGATGTTCAGACAGTAATGTAACTTTATAGAAAATATCGTTGTTTATTGGAAGTAGATCCTATCAAACTGACTTAAGCAGAAAACTTAACATTGAAAATTGCTAATTAATTCAAAGTCACTGGACCATGTCCTAGGGGGCAGGGCCTCAAAATAGTCGCTAATCTGATATGTACTGATAACAATGCAACTTCATATAAAATATCATTGATCTATCACAAGTAGATCCTATCAAAGTAACTTAAGCAGAAAACATAACATTGAAAAGTGCTAATTAATTCAAATTCAATTTACCATGTTCTAGGGGTCAGGGACTCAAAATAGTCGTTAAACTGATATGTTTTGATAGTAATGCAACTTTATATCAAATATCAATAATCTATCACATGTAGTTCCTATCAAACCAACTTAAGCAGAAAACTTAACAATAGTTGACGCCAGAGCCATCACCGTTGCTGGAAAAGCAATCCCTATTTTCGTTGCAGACGAGACAAAAAATGAGATGTGGTATGATTGCCAATGAGAAAACTATCAACCAAAGTTCAAATGCAGAGGATATTTTACCATGTATTTCTATAGTTATATATACTTACTGATTTGATAATATTATTTTCTATATCAGTAAGTTGTGTCTCACGCTGGGAATTAGACACTAGTTCTATCCCAATCTTCACAATACTATTCCTTACTAGACACAATTCATAAATAGCCTCAAATGGAGTTCTAAAAATATACATCACATAACCATTTACAAATATTATAACAATAAAATGAAGGAGTACCTGGTTTAAACTATTTACAGTCATAGGCAATACTTGTACAAGTAATTTTTATATACTTGAAGATGTAATATTTACTTTTATAAGGGAATTTGTAAGATTTTATTCATCTTTTCAAGATTTTAATTGTCTCCCTTTATGCTTCTACAAAAAAATTACTCGTACAAGTAATCTAAAATGTTTAAAAAATCTGAAATTTTCAAGTTTTGGGGGGTCAAATTAAGCCTAACAATGTTTTGATGGTTTGCTTAGTATTTTTCAATAAGATTTCAACCTTTAGTCTCAAGAACTAAACAAAGAAATCTATTGTGCACAGATGTAAAGTAACTCTGCAAGGCTTTTAAAAATTGTTCCATAGAGTTCTGTGAAATAAATGAGCAGTATTTTGAAAATTAGTAAAATGCCATATTTATTGTTTATGAAATAATTCTTTTATGAAAAGTAAAGACTACCATTACTTACAGCCAATTTTACCCCCAAATTTCCAATGTATACAAGATATCAGCAGTAGTCCTTTTGGCCATTCCAATAATAATATATTGACTTAGGGACTTAAACGTATGAAGACCTATTTGTAAGTACTTTCAATTCCATTAATTGAAGTGACAGATTAAGTTTGCAAATGGAGATAACTCTAGCAGAATTACATACTCCATCTATGGAGAATCAACAAAGCTGTGAGAAAAAACACTCCTATACCTGTATTATTTCAATTTTCAAATAACAACACTCACCTGTCAAGCCAGTTTACAATACTTTTAAGACTGGTGATAAGATCAGACACAGAGGACAAAATATTGACAGAAAGTTTATCATGTGAGGTGGAATGTTTAGATACATTAGCAGCATTAGGATTGTTTTCTGATGAGCTCGCCTGAACCTCTCGCTGTAAACTCTTGGCTTTACACCCAAGCTGTAGAGCAAGGTACTGCAGGTTCTCTGTATCATAACCATATCTCTGAAATAAAATGTCTTAGTATTAGATCATCTGAAGATACGAATATTCAATTAGTAATAGAAAGTATATTCAGCCTTATATGGCATCATGACTTTTGTTTTCATGACCTCATGTATACAAGTATGGGTTATGTTCATTGTTGAAGGTCATAAGATGACCTATAATTACTTGCATCCACATCCTTAGGCCTTGGTCAATACATGTAGTTGTCTCATTGGCAATCATACCACATAAGTATATCAAAGGAGCACTAATCTCACTCTGTACAAGTCACTACACAGTAAATGTAATATGTCCTTAGTATGGGTTCATGTCTTGATCAGATTACTACGAAAACTGCACAGTACTCTCACTATGCTCAACTAGAGATTTAAAATTTCAATATTAATACAAGGGGATGTAAAGTATTAGTCAATCAGACATTAACCCACAAACAAAAGAACAAACATTTAGAGCGACAATATCAAGTAGTTTAGAGATTTTAAAATTTTGTACAAAAGCAAGGTTGCATTTTTATAAGACACAGCATACATTCTGTCAATGATGCTTCTAAGTAGCACTAAGACTAATTACAACAAAGAAACACCTAACTTCAAGGCTAAGATATAAAAGTTACCAATGTTTTAAGGAGATCAACAGCTTCCAGAATAAGTTCCTGATGACCAAGTTTGTTTATTCCTATTTTTTCTAAGTCATAGTGAGTCAACATTAATAGTTTCCGTCCCCCTATGCCATGCTCTAGTATCAGATCAGCATACTGGGGTGTGGCTTCATCCAGTCCTACAAAATAAAATACTTCAAATCATATCAACATACAGGAAAGAATATTTCAATATGTCTTGAGTTGAGAAAAATAGTTTAAGCTGTTTGTGAGAACAGTCAATAAAATGCATAAATTCATCAGGACAACTGATCAACCAGTTTAACGGAATTTTACAAAAGGTTAAGATCAATGATAATAAAGTACTAATCTTTAGAAACAAAATCAGACAAAACTGTACACTTTCCGTAATCATGTGACTATATATTTTCAAAAAAAAATGTTTGCATTAACTATGAGTTGTAAAACTAACTAACTACTTATAAATATGAATTCACTGGGTAATTTCCCTGGTTGTTCAGTGACTAATTCACAGGGATACTCGACCAATTGCTGTAGGTTGATTAATTTGTCAATACAGCAAAGAAAAGTGCAATAAAGATATTTTTTAGAAAAAAAAAAAAAAAAAAAGAAAAATATGTCTATAATCTTAGTACCTTAATTACAGAGTGAATCTGTGAAAGGACAAAAGAGAACAAGTATATACATGTATACTGATTCTAAGAGACTTTAATACTGTTTAAAGTTAAAAAGTCTACCTCTGGTATCTTTTTTAATACTAGGCAGTCAAATGTTTTACACATGCTTATTAGCAAGGAAGACTGTTGCTAAATGTAATAATAGACCACTTTAGAGTTATGTCCTGACTCCTTCACTAGAAAAGTTCGTCAATTTTGTGCGCCTTTAGTTTTAAACATATATTTCATGTATTTATTTATAGTGGATTGGGAAACAAGTTATTACAACTTATATTAATCCCTTTCCACTTTTGTGCCCCTTTGTGACGTCAATTACCAGATAGTCATGCATGACAGTGGTATTCGCCTGTATCCCTGCTCTATTAAAGTTCATCAAGCGTCTTTGTGATTGTCAAAATGAAGGATAAACTAGAAATAATATTTGTTCAGAAAGTACTTAATCACAATTCCCTAATGATAGCAGTGCTGAATATCAACTATAAGAATTTAATTTGCTGAATAATTTGTGCAATATAGCATTATCATTTTTTCAAACCCATCGCTCAACATACAAACGGAAGTGATGACGCCCCCAAACACACAAGGATATCAGACTTGACTGTATATATGTTTTTATTCTTCTGTTCTTAAACTATCTGTCAGCTGTTCTCTACTTTTATCTTATCATTTTTTATGAATTGTAAGAAAGTCGTCTTAAATTCCAACAGAATCCCATCTTTTGAATGAATAGTAAATCAGGTCATGCTAAATGAAAATATCAAAACTCAGTTGAGTAATTACATGACATATCAAGCATCGTAAAATTAGAAATCAAACAATCACCTTGTTCCCTTTTATAAAGTTGATGTTGTCTTAATTGCATTCAATTATTGAGTGTCATGCCAGTATTTGTTCTTTGTCACTTCAAATATGTTCATATATTTGTACCACCCCAACCCAATACTAACTGCCTATACTGACTAGTTCTTTATAGACTTTCATTTAGCAGTTTTGAAAAATATATAAGCAGTTTTTAGACAGTTCTATTGACTTTCATTTAGCAGTTTTGAAAAATGTATAAGCAGTTTTTTAGACAGTTCTAGCCAGTTTCGAAAAATAAGCAGTTTATTAAAATTGTCTATCATGACAATTTAGATTTTGAATTAGACAGTTTGGAAAACTGCCAAATTACATGTATCCAGTAAAAAAATTAAGCAGTTACCATTGCCTCCCTATTCATGCTATTAGAAAATAATGGTGGTTTCAAATTGTAAGTTTGAAGTTTGTTACTTAACAAGTGGAGTTCTGATAAATTCATGATTTTTTTTCAGTTTTTAAAATACTTAATGTTACAATCATATATACCTCTGATATTTATCATGTTTATACGGAATTGTATCCCCTGACTAAAGTACTGCTTATGATCAGTTCATATAAAGAGAGTTCATCATGTTTATCAACTGTTGAACTTTCATGTACATGTCCATGAACCATATACATTGTAATAAACATTTTGATTTCATGAAAAATTTGTGTATAATAGCTATAGATTGATGAATTTTAATGATTGGATGAACTATCACATGAGTTTATTGAATCCAAATACCACTCTGACAGTTGACATGTCCAAGTACCATATGAACAATGATGAAGAACTATAAAAATTATTTTCAAACAAAATATTCCTGAAATTTCATGATTGAATGAACTGTCAGGAACTGTGGACGATTTTTAGTAATTGTTACATTCATCATGTTTATTGAAAATTATTTTATTTTTGTAAAAAGTTGATACAACCATGCATTTTAATTTTGACTTTTAAAAATATATGAAAAATAAATTCAAGAACTGATCATGTTGATATATTTTATAAGAGTCAACAACAGATGTTTATCATTTAATACATGTATGTTAGTGTCAAATAACATTAATTTACGTGTACATGTATGTTAGTGTCAAATAACATTGATTTACATGTACATGTATGTTACAGTTTTATATTACATTGATTTAAATTACAGTTGGTTTTCCCATTTGACAAATGAAGTACATGTATTTACCAGTACTGGAGTTGTCAAAAAACAAATAAATTTATCATGTATAATATAAAATTAATGTGTTTTTTTCAATCATATTCATTCAATCAAGTAAATCTTCTTCAGTTTGTATGGCATGTTTATGATCTCTTTCTAGGTGACAATTATGACCATTTAATACATGAATATGTATATAAACTCATGGGCTGTTTGTTTTGTTGGGTTGCTTATCTAACTGATATACCTACCAAACATCTTTATAAATGCAATGTAATTAAACAATAAAGGGCCCCAAAAATGACTAGTGTAAAACCATTCAAACAGAAAAACAACAGTCTAATCTATATAAAAATTGAGAAAAGAGAAACACGTATGAACCACATCAACAAATCACAATCACTGAACAACAGGTTCCAGACTTCGGTAGGACAGGTGCAAACAAAAGCAACAGTAAATACTTTCATTTATATATATATACCTTTTTTAACTTTATTACACTTTTCATGCTTTTATACATGTAGTAATGATGTTTTTATAAAAAAAAATTTAAAAGGATCTGTAGACATGGTAGATGGAATTTTAAGAAATCCTGATTTTTAGCAAATGAAAATGTATTATTTTGTTGCTTTTACATTCTATCCCTTTTCAGGTTCTTTTTTTTATAAACATAGATTATATCTCTTGAAATCTATATAATCAACTAATGATACAGGACAGGAACCTATTTATGATATTCAGATGTAGTTCAACAAGTTCTAAATGCATCCAAATTTAGTCATGTTAGTAAAATCAAGAAAAATTAACAATGACGATGAAAAGATTTAAATAATAGGACCTAGTTTTACAAAAAGTGTTTATTATTCTTGTCTTCACAAGCCAAAAATGCCTTGTAACAGGAGATGTTTGTGGATTGTTTAAACGAAAGCAGAGACACAGTTTTCTGCAAGCAAAATGGTGTTAGTCTTGTTTTGAAATGCATGATTAAATTAAATTACTAGTTGATTGCTTTTTTTATGAGATACATGCCTTTGTCAATCACTTAGACATTATTTTTTTATCGTTCATTTTGCATTATAGATGTGGAGGTATATATGTTGATCTACTTTAAAGGGGCACTAGCTACGAGATATATAAATCAAAGCACGAAAGCGCTGTAAAGGCAGTTAATTACAGGTTGTGTGTATTTTAAGTCCAGTTATATCATTATCTTGCATAGTACAGTGTACTTATCAGAGGTGGCTTTCAGTATTTAAGATTTAGAGTTCTCTAATGATATTGAATAAGTTTTATGAATGTCATATTCTGAGCACTATATGAAGGCGATTGTTCTCACTTGTTTATGAACTAGTGCATTATGTCCAGTTTGTACCTTTTTTATCTATGTTTATAGTCAAATTAGTTATCAAAGGTACCAGGATTATAATTTAATACGCCAGACGTGTGTTTCGTCTACATAAGACTCATCAGTGACGTTCAGATCAAAATAGTAACAAAGCCAAACAAGTACAAAGTTGAAGAGCATTGAGGACCCAAAATTCCAAAAAGTTGTGCCAAATACGGCTTAGGAAATCTATTCCTTGGATAAGAAAATCCTTAGTTTTTTCATTGGCAATCATAACACATCTCCTTATTTATATAATGATCTATATTCAACGACCTCAGGTACAAAAAAAATGTATGTAACTAAACTATGATGGGAAACCTTTGACTTCTTTCTTTATATAAACTTTTGATTTGGTACCATAGAACTATGTAGAGTAAATGTACATTGCAACATGTCAACTCTTTCAACTCCAAGCAAAATTATATTTCCAAGCATAAAGTAATTTATGAATGAAATAAAATGCTCCGCTGGGGCGCAGCTTGATACGACCGCAGAGGTCGAACCCTGAACAGTTGGGGCAAGTATGAACACAACATTCAAGCTTGATTCAGCACTGAATTTGGATTGTAATTAAATATTTGACACAGCATAGGTTTCTGACACAGAATGAAAGTGGTCTAAGATACTTAAAAAAATTTAATTTACCTATTCAAACCATATCATTATTATTTGCTTTTATATATAAATCAGAAATAACCAATTTAAAATGGAAAATTTTAAAGAAAAAAAAGGAAAAAGAATCCCCCCCAAATTTTTTGAACCCCCTTATGATTCATCACCCCAAAACTCTATCCCAGCCTTCCCTTTGTGGTATGGTACCTTGCAGTACAATTTCAGAGAGATCCATACACTTGAACACATGTTATTGTCTGGAAACTAGAAAAATGCTTGTTTTTTGGCCCCTTTTTGGTCCCAAATTCCTAAACGTTTAGGGCAATTACCCCCAAACTCAAACCCAGCTTTCCCTTTGTGATATGGAACCTTGTAGTACAATTTCATAAAGATCCATACACTTACACACAAGTTATTGCCATGAAACTAGAAAAATGCTTGTTTTTTGCCCCTTTTTGGCCCCTAATTCC